TGTCTCCTTAAAATGTCACTGGGTAGAATCGTGTAAGGAAAAATTGGAAACGTAACAGATAATTTACAGTTGAACAGATAAAACACATAAAAAATTGAATTGGATGGATGGGATAAGGCAACGCAACACCTGGGAGATCTGCCAAAAAAGGGATACTTCCCAGGAGGACTTCCCATAGGAAACTGGTCTCTCTACCAAGGAGAACTTTCTATGAAGAAACTGACCCCGATTTAGGTGTTAGACACACGAAGAAAACACGTAAATCTGAGCAGCTAATCGGGTACGAACCCGTGACCAAGTATATCAGTGTTCGGTGCTTTTATCCACTCGTCCACAGGTGGAAAGGGGGGGGGGGAAGAAAGACTAAAAGATAATGACGTTTAGAATACGCGAAGAACATCTGACCGATTGTCTCTCTCACGTGACCTCGATATAACGAGGACAACAATGCAATCAATTTGTCTCCCACTGAAAAGAAGAAAGAAGAGCTTATTCGTGTCACGCTATCTTCAAATTGATATTTCTGAAGCTAAATAATCTAAATTTTTATTAAAGAAAAGGATTTTTAATATATTTTTATATTTGATTAAATTATTTATCTAATGAATTTTCTAGTAGTTTCGTCCGTCTTTCCGTCTGTACGTAAATCCCAGATAAATATTACATTTAATTCTAACTTTTTGTACCTGTACATCTTGAAATCTGTGGAATGCTCTCTTTGGCCCAAAAGTCAGTTTACCTTCCAATTAACCCACCGTATTCGGAATATGGGAAAAAGTCCTATATCTCGGTTAAGTGACTTTTGGGCTACTCCATTTTGAATTGTAATACAATATATGACCGAGATGTTACAATCGAACCTCCCAACGACGGCCACCTCTTTCTTTTTAAAAAAGTAAAATACAAATCCTTGGATTCGAACCAATTAGTGACGAGTATAATTAAGTTGTACCACAAAAAGTATTTAAAATAAAAATTTCTTCTTGATGGATGAGGTAATTAATTGTCTAGAAATTTCTCAGAATCTTTTCATCATCATTTACCTTAATGTGAATTATATACCACGATTTATACTTCGTACACACGCAACGTACGAAGGTACACACTTGAACGTACAAACCTCTACGTAGAAACACCCTAAATAGCGCCACTCTCGTAAAGCCAACACCGCCAAGTATCAAATCGGGATTCCTCCATTGTTACAGCCGAATAAAATAACTTTAAAAGTCCCAAATTCAACCTTACGCCTTTACCTCGTTATTACGTATAATCCTTATCGCTTGGGTCACTTCGGTTTAGCGCCACACTTGATTTATTGCCAATATAAAACGGTTTCTGTTGGGGGTTTTCTTTAATCCGGGACAGTTTCGTCCCTCCTCTAGTACATTGCAATCGCGACGCTAAATCGAAGTTTCCCCCGTGTATTGTGTACTCGATACAATAAATCCTATAATCGTTATAACGCGCCACTGATAAATGACTAAATCTTTGTCCAGATGATCCTGCTGGCCCCTTCCTATCTGGATGTAATGTATTTATTTATCCAGCGGCAAGAAGGCATTCGAGAACACAGGATGGTTCGAAAGTCAGTTAACCCAAACACTAAATTCCTTTCTTTTTCGAGTGCTTTATTATTTACAAACACGTTAAACAAGCTACAAGTTAGGGCATCGCGCTACGAGGGGCCTCCCTATTCTCGAAAAATTTAATATCTGTTATTCGTGGAGATGGAAGGGCCTCTTTGTGTTATAATTTAGTTCGTTAATTAGGGCAAAGCAGCATATATACATCAACGGGTATCGAATTTTGATGATCTTCGACATCCATGAAGAGTGGAGTGATGAGGAAGACAACGCAACACGTGGGCTAATTTTCTGTGAGAAAAGGGCCCCCCTATTTAGGGTGAAGAAAACCCCGAAAAACTTCACGTGGCCGGCTCGTCGATCGGACGAGAACCCAAAACCTACTATTCTATTCGGGCCTATTTTACTAGTGGTACTCAGGCCTGATTGAGGCCCCCAAATGGGACGTAGTACAATGCCCTCGACTCGTACTGTTCATGATAAGTTATGGAAATGTTAGATGGGGTTTGAACTAAAATCTTCACCGACTTTCACGTTGAAATAAGGTCTGGGTCGTTCATAAATGTAGGCCTCTCTAAGAAAACACCGAAACTTTACATCACTTTCATATAAAATATTAAATTTCGAGAGGCCCTCTATGCCAGAAGCCCATTGCAAAGAGTCCTGCTGGCTCTTCTCTACAAGAACTTATGGGCTCAGTTATTACTTTTTACTTTTGTTGAGTTTCTAAGTTTCTTCTTTGTAAAATGTATAATATAAACACTTTGTATAAATCTAAGATATAAAACATTAAATTATTCATTTATTTCTTACAGATTTTGAATTTCTAGAACAGATTTAATAGACATTTGAAGCCGTTTAATGATCATTAAACAGGATTACATAAAGATGTTTTAACTAATGACGATTAAACCGTGGCCAGCGATTAATGAATCCGTTCAATGATCATTGAATGGGATTACATAAGGTTGTTTTAATTACTTATTTAATATAATTAGATCATGCATCGTTATTTAATCACCTCTTTTATGGTTATTCGACCATTGCATCGTCATTTAATCACTTGTTAATGGTAATTAGGTTATTGCATCGTTATTTAATCACTTGTTTAATGGTGATTAGGTTATTGCATCGTTATTTAATCACTTGTTTAATGGTGATTAGGTTATTGCATCGTCATTTAACAGCTTGTTTAATGGTGATTAGGTTATTGCATCGTCATTTAATCACTTGTTTAATGGTAATTAAGTTATTGCATCGTCATTTAATCACTTGTTTAATGGTAATTAGTTAAATGATGGTGCAATTGTAAAATGGTCATTGTATGTGCTTAAAAATTAAACATATTTAATAATTATTGATATAAAAATTTAAACTATTCTAAACAGATTAAATGGGTATTAAATTGATCCAGTGGAAAAAGTTAATTAAATAATTATAATTAGAGAAAATCAATTTTGAAATTAATATATTTGTTAACATTTACGATAATTCTTGCAATATATAATCACGAATTTCTAATTGATCGATTAGAATGAAGATAAATTAGAGATTAGAGTATTTAATTATTTAAATTAAGCTTACATTTATTTATATATACTCTTCTATAGGCCTTACACGTTATAGGCTATATACCGGGCCCTATCACCGAGTCTTTTTACTGTAGGGCCCGATAAATCTCTGTACGGTGAAGCCTGTTATCGTGGCCTAGCGATGCATTGAAAAAATAGAATCAAGACTATATGGTGGATGAAAAATAACTAGGCATTGAGAAATCACTGTAATTTCTATATTTATAAGGAAACTGTGATGAAAATTATTCAACGCATACCATATTAAGTGGAAATACGGATGCATACCTATAAATTCAATTTAGACACCAGTACCATCTAACAACGACACGTTTTCCTCATATCGTGACGTGGATGGATGGCCATTTTTCTGTATGTCCGCAGCTGAACCTATTGTCATTTTAACTTCGAATGACAATTCTTGATTGTTTCCGGACAGACCGTGGCACGATGTACTGTACCTTCACCGTGCGCTGCCATTTCTGCATAGACACCACCTCGTAATGTGTGGCAATCTGCGTTCACTCTCAAACAGACGAGCGGATGGTCATTTTTGTTTGGCCACTACGCGTGCAGTCTCTCTCGCTTGCTGTCCACATCACCGAGGAAATTATAAGATTATATTTATTGCTGTAGATGAACACATATATTTTCTATCTTTTGCATTATTATTACAAAAATTATAATGATTTCTAAATGCCTAGTTACTTTACACCCACACTGTAGAAAGGATAAAATGAAGACATGTACTTCAAATGTGGGGCAAAGGGGAATTTTGCAAACAATATAAGAAAGAAAACACTTTGTTTGATTGCACATAGTTTACAGGACACACTCAGAAGACAGGGAGTGAAATATCAGAAGGTAAACAACCAAGAGAAAGGATAAAAGAGATGTTCACTTGATAAGTTTTCAAAGATATTTTGAATTCAAGAGACAAATTGAAGGTTCAAAGTAGTGCAGACATATCTCAAGAGCTTTGACAAACCAATTGGAAGAGTGGAAGCACTTTAGAGGAATTTTTTTGTTTTAACAGAATCACTAAATATTTGCTGCTCTGTGGGTCCGGGATCGACTGCCTGGATTTTCTACGAGTACTGGCCTATGGTTTAGGGCCTCACACTTTTAAATTTATTGTTATCTAGTGGAGGAAAGGGGTCTTTACAGACGGCCTTGTATCCGCCCTAAACACACCACAATATACGAATTGCCTACGCTTGTAAAATCAATAAGTACAACGAACTCGTTCAAGAAGGGAAAGCGCATGTGAAAGACGAATTAAGTATTCGATGTGTCTGTAGTCCTTCTTCTACAGGTGGTATCGTGTCTGTATTTATTATACAGGTGGTATTGGGTCTGTAGTCCTTCTTCTATAAGTGGTATTGTGTCTGTAATCCACACATTGCATAGAATACAAATCTAAAAACATTACATTTTAGTCACATCACACGACAGAAAGCAGCAACATTAAATTCACGTCATAAACAAAATATCTTTGAACACAGCTGTACATACTAACAACATATAAATAAGACGAAAGAATTGGCTTTTAATAACTACTGTCCATCTTCGATCCAGAATATCGCTTAGCATCTACATCAACCAGGCCCTGTCACGAGGGTACCGAAAGGGCCATCTGTCAAGCCTTCAAATTTACAGAGGCCCCAAAAACATGACTTTCTATTGCATTTCCCTGTGTTTTTAAGAAGACAAAAATCTTTATTTATTTATTTTATTCTAAAAGTTTACCTTTGTGTTTTTTTCGTTTTAATATACAGGGCCTCAAAAATTTAAGTGGCTCGGGCATAAAATTAAATTTTAGCTTTTTTTTAATACTTTATTTTAGGTAATGGTTTCATCGAAGGGAAGGAGCTCGATAACTTTCTTAAAGAGTTTGTTTCTGCTGTCACAGGAGCAGATGCTGCGCCTCAGGTATGTGACATCACCACTTTAAAATATAATATGTAACTGATGACGTATAAAATAAATTTCGGGCCCTAGGCATAACCTATGTCTCCCTCAAAAAGCCAACAAGTTTGTTACTTCGAATAAGCTTCACTAATGGTGACAAATATAACAAAATGATCGACTTTCTGAAGAGCCTAGGTTATGCCTAGATAATTACCTAGTTTGCCTAGATCTATTTAAACGGAAAACTTCTTTGTCTTTTCTAGCAGCCCATGACGGATGAGGTAATGAGCGAGGTGAAGAAGTGTTTTATGGACACTTACGATGTTAATGGAGATGGCAAGATTGAGATACAAGAGGTAGGGTGAAGTTAATTGAGGATGTGGAATTATTGTGTATTTTTGTTTCCTTTATCTTTCTTTCGAGGAGACTAAGAATAATCTCAATTTTGTAGGCGACAAATCCAATATGAAATCAATTTTCTTCTTCTTGCAGTTGGCTCAACTGTTACCTCTAGAAGAGAGCTTTCTTCTACTGTTTCGATTCGATAATCCTCTAGAATCAAGTGTAGAATTTATGAAGGTAATGGCTCCATTTCTCCATTTTTATCTTGTATAATCTCTGAAAAATCGGTTAGAAAATATAAAGTGAAACTCCCGATTTAGATCTTCATCGTCTTCAAATTGAAAAATGGTGATGTGTTTCTTCCGGAATACAGAGAAGATTTAATTGTAATTATTTCCGATCTGCAGCCCATTTACAATGAGCCTTTAGCATGCCTATTTACCTAGGCTCTTTACAGTGCCAAATTACTTACAAGTTAGATCTTTACCATGCCATTTAAGAGCCTTTTAACCATGCCCATTTACTTAGACATTTACTGTAATGGGCCCTTTACTTTAGGGCCAATTACAGTCGAGTCTACAATGGGGGACAACTACACGGTGAGGGATGAGGCCCAGTCAACTTTTTCATGAAAATTTCTGCTATTACTTTGATTGAGAGCTATTCGGGTAAAGATCCTGAATTGAAAATAACACACCTTAAATAATTGTCCGTGTAATAACGGGTGAAAAGTACATTTATATCTGTTTTATTTATATTATTCTTTGAGGCCAGTCTCTCTCTGAAATTCATAAAAGAAACGGGGCCCCTAGTGATAAGGAGCAGTCAATAAGGCCAAATATTAAAGGGCCTCACAGAACAGAGGTGGCCCCGCTTATATCTAGCAAGATAATTACCATTATCGCATCAAGCATTGACGTATTAATGGTAATTATCTCCATAAACTTAATTAACGTAAACCTTGGTTTTAAGAAGCATTACGTTCAACATAATAACACTATTCTAAAGCGTTATATCGAAGATATTTACCATAATAAATGCTAAACTTTACGTGAATGGGCATATATTATAGTAAAAGATGGCAAATTCTTATAATTTATAGTTCTTTACAGCTTCGTTTCCTGTGGCGGAAACAAATTGAAGTAAATTTGTCATAAGTTTGGATCGATCGATTAGAAGAATTAGAAACCGGCTACGTCACAATACCACGCTGCAATATATGTATATATATAGTTAATCAGGGCCTCCTGTTTATAAGCTTTCCATATCCGGTTTGGATTTTCTTCTAGGCCTTTCTAATTCCTAGATTTAACAAGGACAGACAGAAAGGCACGCGCGACAGTGGGAATGTTTATACGATAATTATATTATTTATAATTATAAATGATTAATGATCAAATGATACGATATTTATCGGAGTATAAGAGCTAAATAAATGATATGTTCAAGCGGATAAATGCGCTTCGATCCATCATTTAATCGATATATCGAATGTATACCCCGCTATAATAGATTCTTTCTCATTTTCTTTTTGCTGGATTGCAGAAAAATATAGAAAATTCCAAGCTAAATCTGCCAAAAAAATTACAGTATTTGATTTCCGGCACCATTTTTATAAATTTCTTACTTCTAAAGTAATTTATAACGCGAGTTTGATGTAATTGGGATCCTTGCAGGCCTTTTGTAATCGTTTAAGTAGGGCCTGGCAACGAGGTTTCCCGATTTAGTAGCCCTAAATTTAAAAAAAAAATAAGCAGAATAATTTAATGTTTGGCTCTGTATGGGCGCTGAGGGGCCCCTTTTTCATACCCGTCACGTGTTCGGCCAGGCCCGCAAAAGGGCGAGAGACGGAGACAGGCCTCTTACGAAAAATTTGATTCGGGATTCTATTCCGAGTTTCGAGCGGTGGGGCCTTTTTTTGGCCGACTATTCTTATCTCAATATAGGGAAAAAGGTCTTCTAGCGCCCAGGCCTTAAATATTTTTGCACGGTCCCGGTCGTAAGGGATACTTCAGGGACATTTAAATTTAATACATTAGAACTTACTACAAAATGTTTATTATAAATCAATTAATCAAATAAAGTTTGTTCGATCGAAGAGTATACGTTCTTACGTAAATTTGACGTCATCGCTTAGAATTTCTCATTGAAAAACTGATTTAATGACGTCAAATTGACGTATTGAGCTATTCTAAAAGAGAGAACAGACTATTAATTCGAGAGACTCGAGTATTAGGGAAGTTTATCCAACTTTTTTATATTAAAAAAACTTATAATTTTTATATTTTTTTACGTAAATATCAGCGTTAGAAACTAAATTTATTATAAATTACAATTATTTATTTGAGGCATCCATTAATTTTATAAAACTAATAACATCTTTAAGTCTTCCTCATCGATTTTAACGCCATTCCAGACGTCGAGTCAGCAAAGAAATGGAATCAAATGAAATAATTTGCTTATAATTTCGTTATTTTTTTCAATTAAAACCCAAACTTATTTATTAATTATAATATAATATAATTATTTTGTATTTTATTTATTAAATATCGTTAAATTTGCGCGTGAAGTAACTAATACTGAAATTTTGTCAAGGGTTCGGTAAATATTTTTTATTTTTCCCATTAATTTAAATTAAAAAAGGGGGTATAATTATCGTAAAAAATATACGGGATCCCAGCCCACTTCTTCGTATATTCGCTCTTTTTTTTATCTTTATTTTAATTTTAAAAATGTTAAATTTCTATTTACAGTCGTAAAAAAAAGATTTTCATGCTTTATGAATTTCGAATCGATATTTTGAAGTACTGTATTTCGCGAAATATTAAATATTATAAATAATTTTTTTCCGAAAAATTTTTATGATTAAAAAAAAGATTATTTTCAAAGTTTATGAAATTTTGTTTGTGAAACGCCCTCCTCGTGACATGAGAATGCAATTAAACACTAATAGAGTTGACCTTTATCGGCTTTTTTCCTCTTTCCTTCTCCTCCTTGTTCTTCTCCCTCCCATACCTTTCCTTTTTTGTTTTTTACGTCCCTTTCTCGCTCTCCTACTCTTCCTTTTTCTCTTTTTCCTTCTCTTCCTGCTCTTTCTTGCTCCTTTTCCTTTCGTCCTTGTTTTTCCTTCTTCTTTTCTTTCTCCGTCTCTTTCTTCATTTTCGTCTTTTTCCTCACTTTATTTTTCTCTCTATCCCTCTTTTCCTGCTCTTTCTTGTCCTTCTTTCCCTCTTTTTTCGCCTTTTCTTCTCTTTCTCGCGCTCTTTTTTCTTCTTTTTTGTCTTCTTCCTTCCTTTTTCTCTCTCACTCACTTCCTTCTTCCTTCTCCTTTTTTCTTCTTCATCTCTTTCTTGTTCATCTCCCTCTGATCTTTTTCCTCTTTCATCTGTTTCTTCTCTTTCTCCCTCCCATCATTTTCTCCTTTTCCTCCTACTTCTTTTTTATCATTTTTTCCTTATTTCCCCCTCTTCCTTCTCCTCTTTGTTCTTTTCCCTTTCTCCCTTCTTCCTTTTTTCCCCATCTCCTTAATCAGGTTCCGCTCCTGGATCTCCCATTAACCAAAAACTACATGTTTGTCAGATAAACAACACTTTTATAAAAGGTCCCTACTTGACGAGATCTTGCAAAAATTGTAGAATAATAAAAATCTAGAAGAAAATAGCTTTTAAAAATATCCATAATTTTAAATCATACAAAACATAAATACCATTATTAAATACCTCTCCCCTACCGTTTAATTGCGCGCCCAGGTGTGAGGCAGGGATTTATATTTTGCCTTTGTTTCCGAGCGATTTCGCCTCCTGGAGTTTTGTTATTGGACAATTTTTCAACAACTCCATTCGGGGGGAAAGCAATTTTTGAAAGCAATTCTGTTTTTCCGGCGAGAAACTGCCCATAAATAAAGGGATTGCATTGTCGTGCCTGTGTTCCTGCCACTCCAAATTATGTACATTCTTGACTAGTTTTTCTCCTAGATTTTCATTGTTAAGAAGTTTTACGTCCCAATTTTAACCCCCCTCCGAGAAAACAACAATTTTATGACTCAAATAACAGAAAAAATTGTCGTTTTATAAAATGAAAGCTTGCAGTTTTACTGATCCAGCCCCCGTGAGGTCAAACCTCCGCTAACGGCCACCTCTAAACAGTGTCCACTTGTGTTTTTGTAATGCCTGCGAAATAACCTCCAAACTACGGCCATTTTTTACGTCACGTCGGTGTCCGTCGTTGGGAGGTTCGACCGTATTAGTATTTTCTACGTATGAATGTAGAGAAAAGTCTATTAAGAGTAATGAATCGTAAGGAGAATCATCAGCATTTTTACCATTCTCCTCCATCGATATTTATCGATTTAACGTTTTTTTCTTTTGTAGGGAGAGTCGCGCTTATAATAATACATTCGATGTAACGAAACGTTATAAACGTCGTTATACAAGAAACTTTGAATTTTTACAATCTTCACCAAGAAAATTTACCCGTAAAGAAGGTCAAATGTCGAGAATTTTCTTCGATATTAAGTTGAATATTTTTATTTATTTTTCAACGTATGAAGCCTTATATCGAGGGGATATCGTAGGGCCTTTTGGTTAATAACTCGGACATAGATCAGCTTTAAATTTTAATCTTTAATGCAAAAAACAAATACGAATTCGTCGTTAAATCGAGCAAATATTACATTAAACACGAAAAACCTCGTTATAACGCTATAGTGCTAACACGAATTCGGATATAACGCAATTGAATCTCTACATTATTCAACTTGGTATATGGTCAGTTGCGTACAGGCATGTATATTATTGTACAGTACAGTACACTGTACAATAGTGTACTGTATACTGTAAACAATAAAAAATTACGCCTTGTATAGTGACGAGATCTATTTGAAAGTCGCGATTTAGTGAAAGTAACGTCGTTTGAATTGTTATAACGAGGTTAACGCTATTTGGAATGTTGTTATATCGAGGTTCGGTTTCATATAATTTTTTAAAAAAGACCAAGGTTTGGTGTATAAACAGCAAAGAAACTCACTTAAAATGGGGTTTTCTTGTCATTTCGGTATAACGTACATTCCCGTATATATCGATCTGACTGGCTACGCTCATTTCTTTGTAGTTCGAGATGTAATTTCTCCACCGTAAGCGTAATTAGTTGTAATCACAGAAATAATTGCTTTCTTTAATTCCTAAAAACTAAAAATAGAAGACACAAGCCTCTTATTAAATCATTTGAACCCCGAATTAATACAAAAATGATCTCTTAAATACGTTATAATGAATCATAAATGTGTCAATCGATCACCTGTCATAGATCTCGGTTTATCGATTTCTCACCACTCGACCGAAAAGTCTCGGCTTGAAATTAATTACGAATTTAGTATCCGACTTTCACTAAAACCCCGATATAGCGCTACCGTATTTTTGCTTCTGAAACTGGCAACAAATGAAATGTGGTAATAAACCGAGCTGCGGCACGGATTATATCGATGTAACACCCCTATTTAGCGCCACCCTCATAAAGCGAATAATTGTAAATGGGTCTTTTTCATAAATGTTAATCGAAGGGATTTTTTCTCTGTCGATGATTTTCTGAGCGCACGATTTTGAATTTCAAACTTTAATACTGCACAATTCTATTCGCTATACCGGGTGATCGTAATTAAAGTACCCCTATTCAACGCTGTCTAGAGAAATATTTATCAGTGAAAATGCAAACAAATCTATAGATAGTATAGTATGGCATGCGTGGAAGACGTTATCGTAAGTAATATTAGTACCAAAACTCACCACAGTGGCACTTTTGGCGCTAAAAGCTGCGAGAAAAACAGTTTCTTTTGCATAAGCCATGTTCTGTTTATAAAAATGGTCATTGCCTTGCCAGAAGACGAGTTGGCAAGTGTACCGAAAACTGGGATTAGTCACGGGTTCGAGCCTCATCAATGGCCTGTCACGTGCAAATTCCTGCTTTTATTCACGTGTCTAACCCCTAAATGAGGGCCAATACGAAGTCCCATAGATAGTTCACCCAGGAGACATTTTCCCTTGGCATCGCCGAGGTCTTTGTATAACGCAAACGTCTCGTATTAATAAAAGGTTTGTTAAATGCAGCGCCAAAAATGCCACTGTGGTGAGTTTTTATACTAATTTTTTCCTCCAAATACCTTGTTGAAATGTCGTCAGTTGCATTTTTGGAACTGAAATTGGCACGTTGAATTGGGGAGTAATTTAATTACAGTAGCCCAGTTTAGCGCCAGTTTCAGAGACGAACAAACGGTGGCGCTAAACCGAGGTTAGATTGTATAGTAACAAGTCCTGAAGGGTTCTCTATTTAATATGTAGTACAGTACGTATTATTTTGACACTAGTGAAGACACTATATTGTGTTTTTTTTTTTACTGTATTCAAGAGTCGCTTCGTCAGGGGGGTTATTCCATGTGTTTTGATTCCATTGTACAATTGTTTGAGGGGGAATGACACGAGGAACTTCCGGTTTTAATCCAATTTTCATTTTTACACAGATCTGGAGGGAGTATGACACGGATGGTAGCGGTTACATCGAAGCGGATGAATTAAAGGTAACACAAGACAATACACTAGTTTTCTCTGTAGTGTTACGAATTTACAATTGCAGTTTCTTTTCTAGAACTTCCTTCAAGATTTACTTCGTGAAGCCAAGAGGGAGAACCTTGGTGAAGAGAAACTGATCGAATACACAGATACTATTGTAAGTTTTTCGATTCTCTGGTGTTATAAAGTTAAATAACAATAGAAAAAACGTTGTACAATATACTACTGCAATAGCTCGTTCATATTATCCGTCGTTTAAGCTAATTTATAAAGGGGTGCTGGTTATACGCCGATTTTAAATGCCAATCACAAACTGGGGCCCCCATAAGCATTGGGTATACACGCGAGGTTCTGTTTGATTCTAACAAATGAAATTACAATAGTTCGTTGGTATATTCAAGCACAAAGTAAATTAGCATTAATATCCTTGCCGATTTCTAGAATTTCTTGTAGCATTCTTCCTTAGGCCCACTTGAAAATCTAGAATATGAATTCTAGAAGGTTTGAGGTGCCATCATATTTCAAAACAGTTATAAAATCGCACAGAATTTAACTGCTAAACTCCAATTTAGCACCGTCATTTCTTGGCCTCTGAAATTGGCACTAAATCGAGTGCGACGCTAAACCAGGAGTACTCGAATTACGCACAGTTACGAGCTCTATACGCGTAATTCGATGATAACAATGCATAATCGTGCATTGGAAGATACGGAAGGAAGATTTATTCCAGACGCTTTACCGGGGTGGCGCTATATAAGATGACGTTATATCGAGGTTTTGCTGTTATTCTATTTAGATTGCTGTATATTTTTTATAAATATTAGGTATTTTGCTTAAATCGAAATATTTCTTTGCAGTTACAAATATTTGATGCCAATAAAGATGGGAAACTCCAACTTAGCGAGATGGCCAGGTAGTGTACTGTACAGAGAACTTGACAGTATTTACTGTTTACCCCCTTCGAATTAAAGAAATTATTGTTTCTTTTATCCTAGGCTTCTTCCGGTTAAAGAGAATTTCCTCTGCAGACCTTCTTTTAAAGTAAGTACAACTCGTGCATGAGCTAATGCCCTGTTTCGGGTGGTATATTCTAGTGTGATCTTTCACAGGGGGCCAGCAAACTGACCGAAGAGGACATAGAAAAAGTTTTCTCTCTGTACGACAGGGTAAATGGATTCTTTTTTTTTTTTCTTTAATCGTTAAATCGAAGAAATTATACGGTAAATCGGGGGATGTCCATCACCCGCTAAACAAAGATGGTGAAATTTTTCAGGACAGAAATGGATCGATCGAGAACGAAGAACTGAAAGGATTTCTCAAGGATCTAATGGAGCTGATCACGAAGGTGGGGTGGATATTGATTTTCACTCGAAATGTCTTTAGTGTCTACAAAAATAAAACCACTCAATCGTTAGTTTGCCACTGATTATAATAGGAATATATCCACTTAACACAGATTTAAAATTGATTTTTATTTCCATAGATTCGTTAAATGCTCCACGAAATGATCTTAACGAATCTATTCTCTTTATCCATTAAATATTAAGTACTACAAGACTAGATCCGTGCCTGAAACCATTGTTTTGAATTACGTGACGTTCACGTACCCATCTGTTACCAAGTCCATGAAACTCGTGGGTTCGCGAGCTCTGAAATTTCTTCGCCTTTGTAACACTTAATTAGGGGCCAATGTACCATAGAAAGGCCTTCTGACACTAATTTTTAGAGGGAATTGATTGGATAAGGCGATGCAACACGTGGGCGATCTGGCCTCCGAGAGGACTTTTTACGGGAAACTGGCTCCTGTTTAGGTGTTAGACACGTGAAGAAAATCCGGAAATTACATTGATAGACACGAACCCACGACTAATTTAGAGATTTCATTCGTTTTGCCACATCCCTTCCTAATTATAAATGTATACATGTACAGTACATGTTTGAAGAATTTGGCTTAATCGAATGATTGTATATAACACTTAACAAATAGAACAATTAACTTTTCATGAATTTCTTTTAACACAGGATTACGATAGCCAAGATCTAGAAGAACTACAAGATTCCATCATGAATGGAATTGGCTTCAGCAATGAGAAGAGGATCAGCAAATCGGAACTTAGCCGTATTTTATTATCAGTAGCCAACGAATCATAATTATCCTCGTCATTATAATAATCGTGTGAGAGGAATAAATAAACAAAAAATAAATAAAAAACAATAGATCAAAAGTGTAAGTAGACAGCCAGTCTAGGGGCTTCCAACAGAATATCTGTCTAGCACAAAGTTTCTATTTTCATTCGACAGAACTTAGTTTCTTTCGTAATTTAATGGGACTTAGTTTCCATTCTCATCGCTAGGAGAGTAAATATCGCTAGCTGCTGCGATTAAAATCATTTATTTCTCGTTATTTAAGTTAATTTACGCATTCAAAATGGCCGCTTATATACAAAATGGCTGATCTTCAGTGTACAGCGCTCCCTACATGAATATTCATCTTGCGTGTTGCCTAGTGAGTTGTATTGCATTTTTTTACGTTAATTAAATTTAAAATTTTATTGTAAAAAAGAAAAAAAAACGCCTTCCTCCGACTCCATTTTGTCTGATTTCCTCCATCTTTGATTGTTTTCCATTACTTTATTGAGGTTGACAACGAAATTAACGAAGTGTTAGTGTAAAATATAATACATATTTAACTTAAATTTAAAATTTAATCGTTATAGAAATTGGAATTCGTGTTATTAATGGCATCTTTTATTTAAATGAAATATAGAAATATGAAAAAGAACATGATATTGTGATAGCAATAGTAATAAAATATTGTTTAATTGTTCAAATATATTTGATTCGTTAGCTTATTTTTCTCATAAAATCTATGTTTTGTACATTTATATAGCGGAGGATTAATCCTCACTCCTCACTGGTGCTGGCTCAACCCAGCCAACACGAGTGAGGAGTGAGGATTATAGAAATAGTATATACAGGAATAGATTATATTGAGGATTATATACTAGGACAGTGGAGGCCTCACTCATACTGACCAACCCACCATTGAGGAGTGACCAGATAATTTAGATTACATTGAGGCCTCCTCACTCATAGTGGCCTGGCCAACTCTTCAATGGAGTTGGCTAGCGTGAGTGATGCCTCCAAGTAGCCTAAATGTTTTGGTATTTCGTATTAATTATTCAATAAATGAACAGAAGCTCAGTATTAAAAACAATTTTAAAAAATTAAAACGAAAATTGAAAAAACAATTGAGCCAGTGACGAAGAACTCGTGAAGAAACTCATAAAACGATTTCACTAAGTAGTGTTTGCTGTCGAATTGAAAGTATTGTTCATTTGTAAACACATTTATGCCCAATAATAGGTGAATAATTCGCCTTTGGATGATTGCCTACTTCAAAGAAACTGATTTATGACTTTGAATGAGAGAGTGCCAAGAAACAAAATGAATGCCAAAATAAATCAATGTAAGAGTACGTCTGTCAGACTGTTTACATTATTTTGAATGGCCTAAATTCAAATAAATAAATAAACAATTTGGAAAAAATTTCAACCATAATGAAAACATTCAAAGATTTATCTTGCAAGTTGCATTCTTCATGTGTTCAATTACAAAATGGACACATGAATCTATCTCAAGTATATTCTTGTATTAACTTCTATAACATGATAATGCACTATTATACAGCACAATCACTAGCGNTTCATTAAAGTTATTTAAAGTTTTAATGAATCTAAAGATACAAGTGAATGTTGTCTCTCAATGAAAACAAATTATGAACAAGCAGAAAACATATTATTATTAACTAGATTACTGCAAACCATTTTTGAATCTGATTGAATATAATTACTTCACACAGTATAATATTACTTTTATATTCTTTAATGCTGTATAACAGAAATAAATCAACTTTAAGTTAAAGAAACTTTAACAATTGAAGATAAGCTGTGAGTAAATTTAATTAATATTTAATAACCAAATGTTAATAATCATTATTTACTTAATAACTAATCATAAGGCAACTCATTCAATTTGCTTTCACATAAATTCATATCTTTATTGTAATTCATAGTAATAGAATGAACAATACTACTCTGAATTAAAGTAAAATATCTTACCTAAATGATCAAAGTTAATAATTTAATTATTCTTTTCACAAATTTTAAAAATAACAAAATAAATCATAAATATTAAGATTAATAAATTCAGATTTTCTTTATGCCAAATATTATATTTACCATATTCTTCCAGTTTTCTAAATTTAAAGTATCTAAACATTCGTACACACCTCCACTTTTATTAGCAATTTGTTGCAATGTATGTTTGTTGATATAAGTAGTTGAACTATAAAAAACAGCAAAGAGTTAGTAGTATAATAATATAAAAAATTTCACATTACTTACAATGATGATAAAATTTCAAATAGTTCTTACCTTAAACCTATTGTAAATATCCTCACTTTGTTGCTATAAGATTTGATACTTTTAAATATTATCCTTTCATTATTAACATCACCATCACTCAAAAGAATTATATTCTTTATGCCTTTTCCAGCAGTTAATTGATAATATTTTAAAACTCTTGAAAATTCTGTATTACCTAATAATGTAACCTGTTTCAGGAAATTCATAGCTTTTTGCACATTTTTTGAATTGCATATTTGACTTGATGGAAATAACTCATGAAACACTATCAAAAAGAAATAATATTTAAATATAAAAATAAAGAATATAAGACTTCTGGTAAATCAAATTTTAGTATTGTATTACTTTTATTATTTAATTAAATAAAAATCCAGCAACATTTAAAATTTTGATGGTGCCATATGTTATATTTTATTAGAAAACTTTTATATTTTTAATTATTGTAAAATTGCAAAAAAGCTTAATTTTGAGGGTGGGGACAGGTTTTTATAAAAAATTGTAAATGATAATAACAAATAAAATCGTCATTAAGTCTGATCCTACTGGAGATAAACACAACCGCTTTTATCTCTCTATCCTGTCAACCTTTAACCACAAAAATTTAATAGCATCAATCCCCAATGCATGAACCTCCCTGCAAATTTCAGAAATTTTCGACAAAAAGCACAGGAGTTATTGAGCTTCATAGAAGGTGAAAAAAAATTAGTCCCCCACACAAACATCCATACATACAGGAAAACATCCAAAATTTTTTTGCATTTCTTGATATTTCAAGGTGTCCTGAGTCCAAAAATGTAAAAATCTTAGGGGTCATTTTGACTGATAACCATACTTTCCCTTTTTTATATATAACAGAGCTAGAAAAGTAAAAATTACAAAATAAACCAAACCAAAGACGTCTAATGAAAGGTAATAAAAAATAATGGAAGCATGAATAATTTCTCTGATTAAACTGGATTGATGAAATAAGACAATGCAACACAAGTGATCTGTCAAGGGATGCCCCCAATTTTCTACAGAAAACTGGCCTCTATTTAAGTGTTACACATGTAAAGAAAACCTAGAAAACTCCACATGGCCAGAATGTTGGTAAAATGTGAATAGGGTATCCAACTTTCTTATATTAAACAAGAGGATATTGCACAGATATTGTTAAAGGATTATAAAGGACATTTGTTAGCCAGCAAATATTTATTGACTGACTATAAATCATAAAATAGTAAATAGACTATAAGTAGGGTTTTAAAATCAATGTTAAAATTATTATTAACTGTTGCACAATGCCACCCTAACTAAGTCCCTCAATTTTATTTTCTTGTCTGACTGTAATTAATAGTAGTGTCTTTCTCTTTCTGTTGAGTGATAAAGATGAAACTATTACTTTAAAGTAAGAAAATAAAATATTGGAATGTTGTCTGCCAGTAATATAAAGTAAAATTAAACAAAAACAAACAATTAAGCATATACTTAAAAGAAAAACATTATTGATAAATGGAGGACTAGAGGACAATACAGTTCATTGGAGGACTAGCCACCCAAATAAAAGACAGTTACCAACTGCAGGTGCAAACCCATAACCAACTACATGTTAGATCACTAGTGGGCTAATTTCTTTGATAAATAAATTATGATTTAAAAACAGTAGAGATTTTGTTTTTCATTTAAATCTTTTAAATTCTTGCAATTTATTTGTATGAATGACTTTTTTCAACATTAAGAGTTTATTTACAGTGGAGCGTCATTTATCCGAAAGTCGGTTATCCGAAAAAATTCCAGTTGGCAAATTTAAATTTCCACTAGTGTTGTGGCACTGCAATCTTTGGCTATGTCTTGGGCTACTCAAATATTTTACGTTTTTCATACTAAATTAACTTCTGAAGTATAATTTTTTATTGTTTTTATATTTTTCAATATATTTATTTTGTTTGTACAAAATAAAGAAATAATTTTTAATGATACAATAGCCACGATTATTATTTTAAAAAGTTTACATTAGGCTTAACATCGACAAAAATTCAATGCAAAGTGACACGCAATGGAGAAAAATTTCAGGATGGGATAGGTTAATATATTTTTTCGTACATAATCGGTTATCCGAAAAATAAGTTATCCGAACAACCCCAGTCCCCGATTGATTCAGATAAACGACACTTTACGGTACTTTTGTAATGAGATCATCTGGAATGGTAAAATATGGACACAATTACAACTGTTCAAGAAAAATTCAAATGACTTAATCTGGATTAAATTTTTGAAATTTCCCGATAGTAGATGATACAAAATGATTTCCATTGTACACTGTGGATTTTTCCATATTAGAGATTAGTGAAATATTATTACTATTATTAACATATTTAGAACAGTCCTACAGAAAAGAAAATATTCAAAAAAAGCAAAAAAAAAAAATATTGCATGAATTTCAACTAAACATTTAACAAAAACTTCAATACAATTTGTAAACTTTAAAAGCAGATCAACTTTTTTTTTTTTTTTGAAGTTTTAAAATTTTTGGAAATGCAAAGTAAAAAAATAATAATAAAAACAACACAATGCCTACAAAATGCACATATTGAAACTAAACAAGAATGCATTATAATTGCATCTTTATAATAAACAGAAAAACAGTAGTTGTGACAAAAAAAATATTCATTGTTAATGGGTCAAATGTTTTTAAAGTATTATTGTCATGACTGGGATAAGACTTGATGAAAAATTTATAGATTATGTAATATATCTCTTTATTAAAATAATCATTAATATACAATATGTCTGTACTTAAAGAATTAACATTAAATAGTCTGAAAATTTATTCAAAAATAATTAAAACTATACAATTAAATTTTAACTATAAAAAAGTAGTTAAATACAGGTATGCACTACTTACTTTAGGAACAAATGTTCCATAAGATTATAATGGAGCTGAAAAATTAGTAACAGATTGTATCTTTATGTTAAGTATTTATGTATCTAAACATATCTAATCATTGTCACATTGTCACAATTGTATTACATATGGCCTTTATGAGTAATAGACTAAACTATATAAGGTTTCTCTATAAAATTTGCTCAATAACATCTTTTTCAGAATGTTAAGTGGCACATACCTGTACTAATAAGAACAAAATAAAGTGCATAAGATAATGATATTTAATAAAATATATGTAGAATTATAACAATCATTTTCATTATTACCTGATCCAAAAACTACTATATTAAAATAACAATTGTGTGGAAGATTTTTGAGACATAGAACAGCTGTCTTCAAAGCATCTGCAAATAATTTCCCTTGCATAGAATTTGATGCATCTAATGCAATAATTATCTCAGGATGAGGATTTGTAACTGCTTCAAATTCTGGATAAAATGTCAACATGCAAACCTGTTTAAAAAAAATCTATATTAATAATAAATTGATAAATATTTGTGTTACCTGAAATAAAATCATAAAAATTAATTATAACAAGGTTCCACAGTCAAAAAATGATATTAAATTATACATAGAAAAGCAAATCCAAATTCTGAAAATCTAATATTGATATATATTACAAAAAGTGGCCTATTGTTACTTGCTTCTATGATGAAAGCTCTTATAAAATGAATTATTTGAGATAGAAAATATATAGAATAAAATTATTGTGACATCATTACAATGCTGGGCTGCAATTTTAATCATATTTTTAATTTATTCAGTTTAAAATATATGTAGTAGTTTCTTGCTCTTGTATACCATATTTTTCCTGATAACAACAGTGTCATACTAATCATCGGTCTAGCTCTGTTGTGGAGAAAATTTATTTTATTTATTTATTTCATTAAATTTACATGAAAAGTCTGGATAGACATTTGATTTCTGCCCCCTACAAAAACGTACATCATAAAAACAAACAAAACAAGAAAAATAAATAAAATAAAAAAAAACAGGTAACAAATCTTAAAAAAGATACAGAGCTTTTTTACATTTCAATTTAAAATCAGGGAGGTCAAGATGTAAAAATTCATCAAAATTATTAAGATTTTGCAATATACAGTAGAAGAAAGATTGTTGAGATAGATTTAGATGATAAAAAGGAGTAAAAACGTAAATAAAGGAGTAAAGTTTTCTTGATGGAATTTGGAGTGAAAGCCAATCTTGATAAATAAGACCATTAAAATATTTGTAACATATTAACCAATCAAAATATTTAATTCTCTCAAAGAAAGATGGGAAGCCCCGGCAAATTCTAGCAATATTAAAGTCAACAGTGAAAATCAGATTACACATTTTGTTAAACGTAAAAAGGGAAGGTGCAGCCATTGACCAAATTGGCAGTCCATAATCAATGCAAGATTGAAAATTAGCATTAAAAATCATCCACAATGCTGTTTTATTAAAGACGGGCTTATAAAATCACCATAAAATTCCATGTCAGATAGCCAGGGATCAATATGATTTTTGAAAGTAATTTTTAATTGAAGTTATTAACTTTAGTCCTGACTGGAAGTTCATACATAAATAAATCAGGGCCCATAGTCCTTAGCTTTTCATATCTGATTTTGATTTTCATCTATCTAACTTTGTTCTCAAGATTAAGAGGATGGACAGAGAGACATGAGTGGAATGTGTAGGACTGAAATTTGAAAAATTTCAGACAAATTACTTTAACTTCATAACTGTAGACACTAAAGTAGTTAAATATGATACAGTTTACTAATATATGATTACAATACAAAAGTAAAAGAGATAATAATAATATATGAATAAATATTTTGCATTCAAAAGTTTATGATTAAACTATTATGAACTATGTGACTGAGATAGTTAAATTATTGCTCTGGGAGATCAGAGGATCAAATCCAGACAGTCAAAAAACCCAGGAATTTTTCACAGATAGTCTCTCTCTCTTGTATTTGTTGATCCTGAACTTCACCACATGCCTGCCCTCACTGTGGCCAAATCTATAATGGTTATGAAAAAGGCAGTCTTACTGTTCACAAAAATAAACAAACTTTAAACTGAAATCAATTTAGAGATATTCCTTTATTTCTACTCTATCTTTGCATTATCAACAATTTACTTTATCATATACAAAAAATAGACTGATCATTTTACTAATTTGAAATAAATAGTTTTGGATTAATATTATCAAGACTAATTATAAAATTCTGTATTCTTCACTTAGATTATAAAATCAAAAATAATTTCCTGTGTGTCGTCATTACTCCAAATTTTCACTGTCACCATCCTACATACATCTTATCTGGCTTAAAAAAAAAGGGCAAGTGCAAATTTAAAAAAGAATACTAACAAAATACAAAATTGACTATTCATTACGCTGTGTTTCTACGTGTGAAAATATAATTCCTCTAAAAGAATTTTATGTACTTTTAAAAATTCCATGATTCTGCTATAGAACATTAAATGACTTTCATAAATTAAAGCATTTCTTCCATTCTTAGAAAATATTCTTTCGATTCAACTTCCCTTTCTTCTCTGCTGTATCATAGTCTTAATGTCTTTCATGGGTTTTATGTAATTCCTTTTGGTGAGATACTTTACTGCAAAGGTCGTCCCTCCGATGGTCACCATGTATCTTGCTGGTGTCGCTAGTTTGTATATGGCTGATGCGACGGCTAAATAACCTAGACTGGAATTTTTTAGAGGCTCTAGAAACTGTTCGCTGAATCCAACTGCTTCCAAATATGGCACTATGTCGAAACCACTGTAACAAAAACAATTATTATATAAACATTTTACGTAAGATACAGATGTGACTTTTAAATTCGCCACGTTTACTGAAATAAAGATTATTCAATAAAAGTTACAGGATTTATTTTGTTAATAAAAACTTCTTTTTATCTCAAAATTCAGTTTCCATTAGACCAATGTAATCCTGAGGTATATTTGTATCCCTCAGGATTACACTGATCTAATAGGAGCAGAAGACAATAATATACAAATGGCTGCCTCTACTTTTCTTGCAAACTGTCAATTTTTTGGTGACATTTTTCACAACACTATAGAATACTGAAGCTCTACTTTGCCTATGACTTATTGCATTTGTCTTCAGGAGCTGTATAGTTTCTGAGTTGTTGGCATACAAATTCTCCAAAATCCCAAAGACGTCAAGTCGCAAGATCTGGCAGGCCAGTTAGATGATAATGCAACCTGGAAATTTCCCACACAGCAACTGAAAAGTTTTATGAGCCGTGTAACATGTCACATCATCCTGCTAGAACCACATAACGGTATCATTTATCATTCATTATGAGTGCATTTCCTGCCCCATTTTCACAATATGCATGCATCGTTGAACCATGTATAGATTCGTCTTAAATTTCCCAAGCCAATAGAACACTATTATGTATACAATAGTGTTCTATTGGCTTGTGGTGCTGCAGTGCCCCCAACAAAAACTGCACCAAATTGAAATCCTGTAACTCTTAATGAATCACCCTGTATTTCAAGTGGTTATAACAATAAATTATTCAAAATAATTGAATCTTAACATTTTGACAATTGTAAGGAACCAAGTCCGAGCATTATTTTTAGTTATTTTTTATTTTGCTTTTATTCTATTTTTGTTTGGGGCTTATGTTTTGTTAGGATGAAGGTTTCCTCACTAATCACCTTNAATAATTGAATCTTAACATTTTGACAATTGTAAGGAACCAAGTCCAAGCATTATTTTTAGTTATTTTTTATTTTGCTTTTATTCTATTTTTGTTTGGGGCTTATGTTTTGTTAGGATGAAGGTTTCCTCACTAATCACCTTAGAAACTTAAAAATAAAAGAACAAGAACCAACTCACCGACGAGAAAAAGCACCATAAAAAAAAACTCACGCACACTTGCGCTCCCGAGCGGAAAAAAGTAAGTCCGCACCGAGAAAGAGGGGGAAATACCCCACAAGCACAACTTAGGAACTTACTAAGCCTTAAAGAATAAAACATCCTAAAAAATTGTAAAAAAAAAATAATGTAAAAGGTTAGCGAGTATTGTCAGGAAATAGGCTGCCAGGCAGAAAGGAAAAGTCGACTGTTAGCAATAAGTATGTAAATGAGGGGAGTGATCTCACTCAGAATTGTGACGTCACCTCACAGTATGAAGTCCGAACCTCAAGTGAAAATGACCGAGGTGAGCTTCTGTTAGCAACGAGCGTGGTGAGCTTTGTAGCAGCAAACGACAAGAGGTATCTGATAGTGATAGTTGTTCCAAGGCGATTTGAAGTTATTCGATTTGTGGATCGAAGATTAGAAAGTCTTGAGAGTCGAGGAAAAAGGTTCCTAGTATACTGAGGTGACGATTAGGACCTTAGTTCATAAGAATTGTTGTACATAAGTTAAATCTTTGAATTTTTTTGTCGAGTTCCAAAGGGGAATAGATTTAAGTTAGCAAATAGGTTGATATGAGTTTTGTCGGGTTGATTCTTATTGATTTTCATTGAATAAATTGTTGTTTGATTTGTTACTAAACTTTGTACATAGTTATTACTAGAATTATGCAGAGTGAAATAGCAAGAATGCACTGTCGAATTCCAATCATGTACAGACTAATTTCAAAAACAAACCAAATTTATTTGAATTTTCATAAATGGAATCTAGGCAAAGTGAGAGTTATAACAGAAGTGTATTTCTAAATACCAAACGAACAGCCGGATTCTTTATCGCAGTAAAGGCTAAATAGTTATTAAGCAATTTGGCAGGAGGCCATCCAATCTTTGCTTTCAGATTCATTTTAGATATAAACTTGAGGCATAAACTGGGACCAACTTAGCACCCACGGATATCCATAGATATTTATAATAAATACAACTAACCCAATAATTATTTCAAGTACCTAACAATAAGAAATCTAACTGTTTGTATTTTGGTATTTGAAATCACGTTAGTTGTATTTATTAAATATTCACTACATTTAGAATTCAAGATCACTAAACTTTAGAAAAGTGTGATTATTGTCTTGTAATGAATGCCTTTCACTCATAGTTATTTGTAGGTATTGTATTTTTATTAATTCTAAACACATGCTCAATAAAAGGTTGTCAAACTTAAATTCAAGAGATTATTTTTTCTGATTCTCATAGAATGTAATGTTGTATAAGAATAAGTAGAAAACAAAAGTAACATTCGTGACAGTAATGATGAAAAGAATTCAAATAAATGTTTAGAATTTTCTAAACTATCTTAAATACAGGATGTATCTATATTGGTGTCAATAAATGTAGGGGTGTTCCTGACACCAAAACATTACAAAAAGTTCATATGAACATGGGTCTGATAATCCTTCATTAGGGAGTTATAAGGTTTATTGCTAATGATACGTGCAAGGCATTTAATAACACAGATTTACAAAAATTGCTCGAAGTGACCTCATCCTGCTTCGATCCATCCCGAGCCTGAATTCTATGCTTTGCTCTACTCTGTTGAAAATTCCTGGAGTGTTTCAAAGCCATTTTGGATCAACTCCTGTACCTAATGTCAATGTTCTGAGAAAGCATATCCAAAATGACTAAGACCAAGTCAAAACAGTGTAGGAATTTTCAACAGAGTATGGCAAAGCATAAAAAGCTGCTCAGGGAATGCATCAGCGCAGTACGATGAATTTTTGATAAACCCCCTATGCCATAATAGCCTTTTAGAAAGTTTTAAAGAATGGTATTACAATATTGTGTAACCTCTTTTCTCATTCTGCTATTTTATAATTTCAAGGGGAATGACAAATTGTCACTTTCTCTTTGTCGGCAGAAGGAACAAATTTAGAAACAGAAGGCAGTTTAGAAACAAATGGAACTTTAATATGGGAATGCCAGGTAAATTGGCTTTAATACAGTTGGATAAACAAACCAATAACAGTCTGTTTCAACTGAGTTAGACTGTCATCAGCTTGCTTATCCAACTGTAAGGCTGCTCTACTAGGCAACGCACCTTATATTTCTAAATGGGATTATTTCTATTTTCAACTGACATTATTATTTATGAACATTTCATAAACAATTTGTTATACTATTAACTGTCGGTCATTAAATAAAACTAATATATAATAATTTATAAATACTCTTTTCTTACCTTTTCGCTACGTAATAGAAACTACCGAACCAAACCAATGACGTTGCCACATGAACAGGTATTAGAACATACCAATATTCCTTTAACATTGTTTTATAACGCTGAACTAACGACATTTTCTTCTCTTCCTTTTCTTCATTTGCATTCTCGGCCAGTTCTTCTTCCTTTTCTAATTTATGTTTTGGTTTGTTTTCTAAAGTTCGAGATATCTGGTATTGAAAGACTTGAGAGCATATTCTTATGTCGTTCGATGTTATTCTCATTTGACGAAATAACAAACCCCTTCCACCTAAAATAATAAATTTTCTATTGTTACTTTTAAAATATATATAAAAGTTTAATTTTGTAGATAATTAGTGATGCAAGATGGCAAAAAGTCAGTTAACCAAGCTATATTTTAAAGATTCTTTAAACTACAGTTAAAAGTTATTATTATTTGCAATTCAGACACTTTCAATGCAGCAACTGAATTGCAGATAACAACATGAAATTGTTGCAAACAACTTTTAATTATTCTTAATCTTCTCCACTCAATTAAAATTGACAATTGCCTGGAATTTATAATTTTTAATTGACAATTTTAACAAATACAAAATAAAAATGGAATTAAGTATAAGAATTAAATATTTGTTCTATTGAGATCGTGTGAGGAAGTCACCTGGCACCGAGACCTGAAAGGCTCATTGTGTTGGGTCAGTCAGATGCAAGGACTCCTAAAGATCCACGGGGGCAGTTTTAGACTCTTCAACCAGATGCAGCAGTTGTCACACTGTGCACATCTCAACTGTAGTGACTATCTACAAATACTAAAAACATTAATTATCTATATAAAGGTTGCATATTGGGCTTTCAATTTTCAACAATAAAAGTTAGTTTTTCAGTTGTCACGAGAAGAATTTCTTACTCGATGCTCTCAACAGAGTATAGGTTATACATCGACAGAATGGAGATTATTCGAATGCAGTTTTTATATCGATTAGCTCTACATGAAATAAGAAAGTATCAAATTTGTTAAGATTAATTACTCTTTGGTTTATAAAATATGGTGTATGAACAATAGTAGTCCACAAAAGAAAACAGCGGCAGTCTGCAGACCACCGGCTTCTTATTTCTTGTAGTCGGTCTGCTGATTGACCTAGTCATTTTTCAAAGATGCAATTATATGCTGTTTAACCAGAGGAGACCATTTATATATATCACATACCTCTTATATTAGGTTGCCAGCTAGATAATGATATTTTGCATGCCAAAATATCATTATCTAAAGTGATATTTACAGGAGCAATGGACTGCAATTCATCTGTGATCTGGTATAAGTGCTCCTTTAATTGGTTTAATATACTCACACCGTCAATAGAACTTAATAATAATATTCCATAGTTCTATAGTTGCTGGAAAATCCTGTCATCACCAAGTTTTTTCCATTTTGATCAATTTATTGGCTTTCTATCATTATCCTGCACATCTCATTTATACTTAAATCACTAAATTTATTGCTACAAAAATAAATCTATAAATATTAATACTGACCCTAAACATTAATATATATTGCTAATAACTTGAACCGAGAATCCAATGCTATCTTAACATAAATAATAAATATTTTTGGCATTATTATAAAATTATCTCATTCTTTACAGTTATAAATACTTATATTCCAGAGCTCATTCAAATTAAATAAATCCTAGCAGAGAAATCCGTGTTTTATTAAATGCAATCTATTCTTTAAATTGACATAGTTTAGAAGATTCTAAATTTAATTCATTAAAAGATACAATCACAAACAGGAATTGTTGAGTAACGAAAGCATTTACATATCTTCAAATAAAGAAATAGTAGTTATCGCTAAGCAAAACATTTTATCTATTAGTGATTTTATAAGAAATGTTATCAGATTATTTTTTTATAAAATTTGATTATCATTTTTATATATTTTCAGTACGCAAGGAGACTGATAAAATAATCGGAGCTCTGACATCATCAATTACAATATCACCAGAAGGTAGATCTAATAACGAAACTACTGCTACAACTGTCAAACCAGGTTGATTTTCAACGGATAATTTGGACATCGAATAATGCTTCTTATTAATAATTCAGGAGTGATCAGATAGCAATAACGCTATTAAATAATACACTTCACCGACTGTTTGTTCTTTAGAGATATTTATCTTTAGTATAATTCAGGAGAGGAAAAAATATAAGACAAATGAACAATTACTTTCCAAATTTAAATCATGTTTAGATATCAATTTTTAAACGAAATCTAAACAAAAATTTAGATTCGAATCTTGTTACATTCTTAAAATTTTATATTAGTTTAAATATATATATATAAAAATAAGCATATCTCAATTAGACAATCCTTTAAAATAATTGTTCATTNTATACAGAAAAATCCAAATATTCCTTATTTTTTTTTTTAATTCTGTAGTATTTTGATGTGTTTTCCCCATTTTCTATAAACTATTATAATTTGTTTTTTGGTTATTGCTAGAATGACCTACTATATAGGGGCTTACCACTTTGTGAGACCTGGAGAACAAATCCAGATGGGCGGAAAAAACACTGGGAATTTATTGGGGATTGTTTCATCTGGATTTGTCAGGCACTTTCCCTTGTCATCCATAATGGACTTGTAAAAGGATCTTTCTTTTAGCAAGTTAGTGCCCACAGGACAGACAGAGTTAAAAAAACTGAACAACTATTAAAATAAAAGTAGTGCATCAAGCATACATTCTAAATAAAAGTTTCTATTTTCTCATAATACTTAGCCTATTTATTAAAATGTATTTTAATTTTTTAATTTGATTGAGTAATTTTTCCTCAAAATTTGAAGGTTTTTGACACTCTTTTTGTCCAAATTTGACAAAAGAAAGAGAACAGCATTCAATTTTTGTGAAATTAGTCAACTAAAACTCAAGACACAGCACTAGATAATGGCACCACACACTCGGGACACAAACTGGTGCACGGGTGGGTACAGCCAGCAACAGATATAGATAATATAATAATTTGCATGATGCATTTGGCAAGTTTCTTCTTACTTTGTAGTAATAAACTCTCGTGAATTTCTTGATAATCTTGATGTGATTAGCCTGCTGCTATGCTTTACCAAACAAGAATCAAATCTGCTAGTGAAAACTTTAAATTATCACCTACAAGCTTCATATATAATAACTTTACAACTTACTCTTTTTATTATTATTATTATTATAAAGTAAAGATAGAAACCAATAAAAAATTGCAAAGCACGTACACATTTTGCATTTGTTTTTTACAAGACCAAGTATATTTGAGCCAAAGATTTATTTAATAAAAATGATATAATCATAATTTTTAAGTTAATTAATATCATCATTTTAAGAAAAGCTAATTTTAATGTTTAAAACAAAAAATAGATGAAATTTTTTGGTCATCTCTGAATTACAAATACAGAAATTCACAAAAAGTTGCATCACTAACATTTTCTGAAAATCTGACACAACTACACAATAATTTGACAAAGTTGCATCATCTATCAGTAAAATTGTGTTTTATGCCACTTGCAACATTACAAGTGATTGCCTCACCCTTTTGTTGGTAAAAGTTGCATTGGTTAGTTGTAAAATTGTTTTACATCACCTGCAACATTACGAATGATTGCATCATCCTTTTGGTGTGATGTAAAAGCATTATGGAGTGATCAAGGCCAGCAGATATTATTACTACACACAATTTCACTTTTTGTTCACATTTGTTGTTAATGCTTCCTTTTGTTCATGATAGATTTAGTAGTGAACTTGTCTTTTGCATTTTGCAAGTTATGTTAAAAGATGTTTTATTTGGGTTTAATTAATTCATTAAACAAGCATGTTCTGTTTATGGATAAAGTATAAAAGTTTTGTTTTTTTTCTATTATTTACAAATTCACGGCAGTTTTATGCAGCTTATTTGCTGTTTTTGGTACCTAATATCAAATGTGGCATGCGATACAATTTTTGTGCACATCTCTACCCTTTGGGCACTAGGACCGTCGACAGCTTGTATGGAACCCCGGAACAGTCCTTTTTGTTTTTGAGCAAATGAAATATGCAGAATGTTTCTTTATTAATAAAAATAACTAATTTTAAAGGTCAATAGTGATTCTTATCCCTGTAAGTTTTCTCTGGGCCCAAGGAAAAATCCCCAGTTCTCCCACCTAGTGAATACTAAGGCCTTTTCCTCATGTTCATTGTGGTTTCGACTAGGCCCATAATGATGTGAACATATAGCAAGGGACGATGCCTGACATATTCAGAACAAACCACCACAAAAAAGTTCCTGAGGTTTCTCACCTGAATTCAATTCTGTGTCCCCAGTAGCTATGGCCCAGTTAATCGCATTCAGCCATTAATTAAATAAAAAGCTAAAGCATACTATAAAATGGTTCAAAATTATAAAAAAATTGCAATAAAATTACACAATATTAAAAAGTATAATATAGCAGAAACTCCTTTATTCAGAGTTAGCAGGTCCAGAACTAACTTGGATAAATAGAAATCCATCATTTAAAAATGTTTTAAATGATTATGATTAAGAAATACATACTTCCAGTAGCAAATGAATGAAATACCTAAGTGGTAAAATTGCAGCTTTAAATGAGGCAGTTGGGGTCTCATCAGAGCTGTACACCATACCCATAGGTAGGGTGACCAGGGACTGTTCCCAGTTTTCTTTGTTTTTAATATTTGATTATAGATACAGTCTTTGAATAGAGCAATTTTATTAACATGTCAATATAATATCACCAATTTATAGATCATAAATTTTAAAAAATAACTGAAATTCAACCAATTTTACACCCCATTTTCACTGATTACAAAATGTGTCTGTGGTTAGATTGTAAATATTATACCCCATTTGCACTGAACATTTCAATCTAGATTGTGATCAAGGTCGGCGACTGTGCCATGGTGCACAACTTCTCTCGACTGAAATGAGGTTCAATCACAATTGACCTCAAGAAAGTTTTTGAAAATAGATCCAGTCATAAGAGAGTCTCCACAATCCCAACTGCATGAGAAAAAACAAGATGGCTGTGGAATAAATATTGGGCTATCAACAGAGAAATAAAAAAGATATTTGGAGAGATGATGAGATCTGCTATTATTAGATATATGGCAAGAAAAAAGTATTTATTTCTAATAAAAACTTCCATTTTGTTGGTTGGTGTTCATGACTTATCGAGTAGTTACGTCAGTTTTACCATCACCTGTAATAGCTGGGTTCTTCTCAAGCGGATTGTCCATGCAAACAGCTCAATGTTCAACTGGCGACAGTTACAATCTAGATTAAAGTGAGTCATGGATTGTGTGCAAGCACAGTATTATGGTCAGCCTATCATAATATTTACAAAAACCATTAAAGGAACTGATGGTCTATATGCAACCCTTTGAGAGACATAGCCCTAAAATCAGTCTGAAAACACAAAATAGTCTTAATAGAATGCAAAGCATGATTCCAATCAAACCCCAGTAGTCAGTGCAACAGCCTTTCTCATATTTTATGAGCTTGTGGCCATCTAGTAAAGTGGAAAATGGTTGATTTTTAGCAGTTTAGAGAAAAAATTCTGCATTTTTTCACTCTTAAATTTTACTCTAGTTTTGAAGGTTTTCAAAATTTTGGATAAGCAGAAGATATATCACAAAGATTAACACACAGACCATCATTTCCTTTGACTTTTTTACTCCCAGGGCATAGCTTATAGCGCCAATAAGGTCCCAAACACTTCATCCAGAGCCACAATCAGCGGCACATGTAGACTATAAAAAAGGGTATAATACATACATACATTACATAAAATATACACTCTATATAAGGATATCTGTATATATATACAGATATCCCTTGATTAACACAGTTAATTAATCCCTCAATGCCACCACTTATATCAAAGTGGTACCTCAGTGCTCGACCGAACAATCACAACCCGACAACAAAGTGGGACACGTGCTCCAATGTACGGGCGCCCCTGACAACATACCACCAACATATATCACGTGTTATACCACGAAAATAAACAATATATGATACAGCTATGGCTTATATATTATTACATCCTCTGTATGGTTTTAGTAAGACATCTTCGTTTATGCTGTAAACAATAGTTAAAACCCGATTAATCAAATGAATAGAAGGAATTCCTAACCATAATGAAAGAACTTTCCTGGTCGATCTTGCAGTTTAAATAGACTCAAATCGCTTATTTGCTTTACGAGTAATCGATTGGATTGCCTTCTCACACAGTAAATCACACTCCATTTTGCCGAATTTAACAGATAGCAACTCATATCTCTCGTCAAATTTATATTCATCAGATAACTTGTACAGATTATTTTTATAACAAATCACACACACGTGCACATTACTCCTTCGTTTGCTGCGCCAGTTAACAGTGCCACCTTTCGTCCAAACTTATTCGCTTCGCCTCCCTTATTTTTATTTTTATTTTTTTCTTCTAAAATAATATTTAAATTCGGAAGATAATAAAACAAAATTAAATAGATAAAATCAACTTTAATTAATTAATTAATCACGTCACGTTTAATAACGGATGCTTCTAACCAGTAACTGACAGCGGCTAAAGATTTAACCAATGACATACTCCGTTTCATATGAAACGGAGTATGTCATTGGTTAAATCTTTGGTTAGTTAAATCTCGTTTATTATTATCATTCCGCCCATCTACTTTTGAACTATCAATAATTGAACACGTGACGGGCGAAAAAAAAGTCACTTGCCGCTCGTAGGATAGGAAATAATTTTAAAAAACTGCCTCGGCTATCCTATTATCGGTATAGAAAATATGAATCCTGAATTTTCTCACGATTATGCATCTGTTTTAAACTCTGAGACATATTATTTGCAGATTTCTGTACTGATTTCTATATAATTCCGAAAAACGTGGCTGGCTGAATGTCCAAAATGGCAGAGATGAATATCTCCCGCTCTGAGGAATCCGGGTTCGAATTCGAGAAGAGTCAAAAATTTATACGAATTTCTTAAAGATAGTTATTTATATCAGTTCCTAATCGTTCAGCTTCTTCCGTGGCCAGCCTGATTAAATCTTAGCACAATAATCGTCTTGCTTTGGCGATTAATGTTACCAGGAAAATGGTGCTAAAATTCCGTTAGTTCTCTCCAAGTTTTATATGCTTAATTTAATACAAAATCGGCTGAACGTTTGTGAAGTCGTGGCAAATCTTTCTCGCCAGAAGTGTTTGAATTTATAACTATAACAATACGTTAATTTTGTTATTGCGAGCGGAGACTCAAACCAAACGGGTGCACTCATTTTAAAGCAATAATCGCATTGTCTAAGATACACTTCTCGTTAGCCCTGTTATTCTGTTTGGGAAACGTGTTCATTTACTCCTATTTTTCATTAACGGAGCCAGAGCCAAATCCTTAACTACGTCGTCAAACTCTTAATTTTTCGCATATTTGTGTTGTATGGACAATAGATTCGGCAAGGTATTCGAACAATGTGGCATAGACACGAAATATTTGAATATCGTCCTATAAATCGTCACGTTTATATCCCGATTATATTGTCCTTCGATGCTAAGTCTAAATCCATAAATTATTCATAAGGTCGTCCTCGTCTTTAATATAGAAATGTTACGAAAGTAACCAAAAATGGTACTTTGTTCTTCAAAAAGTACAGATTATTCCTTGATATATTATTGCTAAAATCAATAGTTTCTATGGAACATTGTTTCGGGATTATTTGTACGCGTATCCATTCCTTCGTGATTAAATAAACGTTCTCGTTTTCTCCATCCGACTTAGTTGAATACAAGAGGAATTTTTACCATTTTCTGCGATATAAATGCCTAAAAGTAATACAGGTAATCTATAGTGGTTCGATGCATTTTCTGTGGAGCGCTATCGCAAATTACCGCGAAAGGCTCAAAAAATCAAAAACTAAACTCCTTAANAAGTGAAATGACGAGTGAAGTAAACAGACGACTTTTGATGACGTTCTCTCTTCCTTCAAACCCATTGGATTTGTTATGTTTTTCCTCGTTTTTTACATCCGGCGACTCTTCCCGCAGTTAAAATTGATTCTAATGGCTTAAAATTCTCGTAATTTCATTTTATTTCAACCAATTAAGATAAATGAAAGAATTTATTGCGTTTTATTGTCCGGGGACTTAGGCCTAAATATACTAATTGACAGTCCCTAACATTACGTCTGTTGGTAAAGTTACTTTTAGTAATTTGTTTACAGAGTAGTTATACTTTCTCCAAATACATTTTCTTCATAAAACTTCACCATCCTGCAAGCGACAAACAATACTTAACGACATTTATTCAAATATGTAATTTCCTATTACGGTTTCGTAAAGCGTTTCGTTTAACGCAAATTTTATCTGGAAACATTCGTTCTTCACGAAGAATTTAAAAAAAAATTTCTTCCGTTTTGTGTATCAAAACTTCCTTTTTTTCGAGTTTCTCACGTTCATCGGACTTTCATTGAATTTAGATGACGTCACAAGCAATGGGCACAATTTGAGAAAATTCAAATTCCAGTAAAAACACAATTCCGGAGAATCCAAGTTCCAGGGATGACACAAATTCGGAATCAAATTTGAGCATAGACACAAGCCGGAAGAGTCCAAATTCGAGTGTAGACACGATTCAGGAGTCAAAATTCGAGGTTAGACATAATTCGGGACAGTCCAAATTCGTGGGGAAGACATAATTCGAGAGTGAAAATTCGAGTAGTCCAATTTCGGAAAATGGTAATTCACTAAAAGGTAATAATGAGACACAGTCGGGAAGAAGTCAAAATTGGGAAGTCATAATCGAAATTGGTATTGACGCAGTCCGGATGTCAAAGTCAGAAGAAGGATTCAACTCATCGATGATTTTCAGACAAGTCATATCCTATAAAATATTCAATTATTTCATTAATTTTTATATCAATAATTTTATTCCTTCTAAAATACACTTACATGCCAACAAGCAAAAATTATTTTGCTTACGGCAATTCATTGCATCGTGTCACGTATGTATCAAATGTGTTATTGTTAACATTAATGTCAATACAAGAGCTAGTGAAATTATAAATAAGTGCCTTTTTTCGAGTTTTAGATGAAATGTCTATAATTACAACGTCTGCCCGTTCTCAAAACTCTTAAAAAGTTTAGACTAATTGATCAAATTTCCAGTAGGTTGACGTCATTCAGCCGACCAATCAGCGCGTTGTGCCATCTGGATATTATGTCGCACGTTGCTCGAGTTCATCTTGACGTTTCTTTTTGCGAGTAATAGCGTCGAGCAGTTTATCTTGTGTATTCGCCTTCTTCCTTTACACTTGACTCTTCAGCCAACCCATAAAAAATCTAATGGAGCAATGGTGGCCAGTTAATAGTATTGTCAAGAGCGATGTTTCGATTTGGGAGTGCCATTGAGGTTCTTTAATTTAGCAAGGAAATTTTAGTGGATGGACGAGCGGCAAAGTTGTTATGGTGCCAGCCTACACTCTTGAGAACTTGGCATCTAATTCGGGAGGCCGAAAAACTCTATAAGTTTGCTCAAAAGACCCTCTTAGTTAGGCCGGATGGCCGAGCGGTCAAGGTGGCAGCCTACCGTTCTGGGGAACTCGGGATCGAATCCCCAGGTACTTTTCGGGGGGTGATCCGTTCGGATATGTCGGGCCCCGTCCCTTACCACCCGGCCGCCCCATAATGGGCCCGCTAGAAGAGGCCCTCTTAGTGCCCACAGGGCGGAAAGAGTGAAAAAAAAAGGAGAAAGAGTTTTAAAAAAATTTTGAGTCAGATCTAATCTGACTTGTTGATTTCTTCCTTTGCCCCTTGGTTACTTGGTAAAGTCAGTAAGGGGTTGTCCATAAACGACGCCCACAGTGGAAGGGGTGGAGGAAGGGATTGAGCTACAGTGGACATTCGTTTTATTTCATTAAATTCTATACATATTGTAATATATATTAAAAATTTCTCGTAAGCTTCGTTTCTACTTCTGGTATCTTTCGTTCATAAAGCGATAAAGGTTTGAACAGGGGTCGAGCTTTCTTGGATATTAAAAGCGGGGGGGAGTGTGTTACGAAAACTCGGACAAGCCGGAACAAATGAAGAGAAGTAGTAAAAATTAAAAAATAATGCCTGGATAGTGGCTAATTAGCAAGTTAAAGGATGTCGGCGAGGGGAGGAAATAAAAATATATTCCGTTACAGACGATAAAAGAAATGTAAGATTGGCAACACTAAGCATTACCGGGCATGCGCAGTTATAGAAGGATAGTTAAGCGGATCGGAGTAACGGTAGATGAAGTAAGTTATTCTTTGTTTCGATTAAAATGTCGTAGAGTATTCGAGTATATAATTAATTTCGTTGGAAATAACATGCTTAACGACACGCGTATAATTAGAATTTCGAGTCAAGTGAAATGACGAGTGAAGTAAACAGACGACTTTTGATGACGTTCTCTCTTCCTTCAAACCCATTGGATTTGTTATGTTTTTCCTCGTTTTTTACATCCGGCGACTCTTCCCGCAGTTAAAATTGATTCTAATGGCTTAAAATTCTCGTAATTTCATTTTATTTCAACCAATTAAGATAAATGAAAGAATTTATTGCGTTTTATTGTCCGGGGACTTAGGCCTAAATATACTAATTGACAGTCCCTAACATTACGTCTGTTGGTAAAGTTACTTTTAGTAATTTGTTTACAGAGTAGTTATACTGTACTATATACATGCAGAATACATATATATATTTGTTCTATCCGAGTTCTGAATGAGGGGTTTTGTACCTCCAAAAATTGTAGACCCTCCTATTCAAAGCAAAAATGTCAAAGGAACTATACCTTTACGTGTGGACTAAATATTTAAATGCAATAGTCTTGGCTGAGCCGTGGGACTCGCCGTCTCGTGCGACCCGATTTTGGGGGCCGTATCTCGCTCGTAGAGGTGTGGGCCCCCTCTAGTCTTCAGAAGAGGGGGCCCACACCTCTCTGAAGACTTTTGACTTTTTTACTCCCGTGTTTACTCCTTACCTCCTTTTGACTTTTTTACTCCCGTGGGTGTGCTCTATGGCTCCCGTTGAGTCCCGACTGTCTCGTTCGGAGCTCGAATTGAGCCGTAAGTCTGGCTTTTACCATAGTTTGGAGGAAATTGTTGTGAGGAGAGTATTTCTGTAAGCTTGTGTGCGCTTATACGTATATACCCACCGTGGGCAAATGTGGCTCTTTTTGAGTTACGCGTGGCTCTTGCTTAAAGTGTTAATTTCTGCTTTTTATTATTATTTTTACAATTTTATTTCCACAATTTTGTGAAAATATGTTTATTAAACAAATTAAATATTTGTTTTATATAATATTTATATTATATAATAAAATCGCGGTACAGAACTGCGACTCCCATGCATTTTGCAAAACCTACGTTTCGGCTCCCACTGACCTCTTGCTTGCCCACCCCTGGTATATACTAATGGTGGCTAAATCGCGGCTCGCCGGCTGCTTGTGGCTCTCGCGTGGTGCCGGTAGGTGACCGTTTAAAGCCGTTTTGGACTTTGATATTTTTTATTATAGTATGAAGTAATGCAAAAAGTAATATTTGTATGTGAAAATAAAGTTTCTTCTATACTTGTCATGGAAAAAACATTTTTTAATTAGATTGTGGTTTACATTATGAAAAAATATTTCGATTGTGGTAGTCGCATGATTGTTTCTGGCAGTCGGCGATTGGCTTTTTTTCTTGGTTGAGAGCCTGGGAGATGTGGCAACCTTAAAGGAAGAGCGAGCTCGATAATGGGCATTTTGTAGAAAATATTCGCCCAAAATGTTGAGTCCTTGTTATCTTCTGAAGACTTGACGATGCCTTGCTACATGGTTGACTGCCAGAAGGGGCATTGCATGATAATTTTTCCTGTTATGTGAGAGACGACCTATTGTTGGTGATGGGGAGTCGACAGAAAAGTATGCGACTCCCGAGTTGGAATTTTTTAAAATTGACTCCAACTCTGGTTCTCTATCCTTGGTTATTGTTATTTGTCATTGAGAATAGGATTGTCTTATGATACTTCCTGTGAAGATGGCTTGCCTAAACCTGCTTCAATGGGCTAGATGGATTTTGGCTTATATGGTCCACAATAGGAGCACACATCCTACTTGTACAATTTCTTTTTATAAATTTGATACATATTACTTACACATATATTTTTGTAAGTTTTTTGACTACAGTGTAATATATACATGAATTGTAAGTGTAACTCATAACCTCAAATAAGCAACTGAAAGCATAAATGAAACTTGGGTACGTTCGTAACATCAAAGGAATTAAAAGATTGTTTAACGATTGAAGGAGTATAGTAACGGTGACGTTTATTATACACCAGCGATAACTATCAATATATAGTTAAAATACCGTAAATATGTGATATGGCCTTTGTTTATTTTCAATGGCATTGTTTATGTATGGCTCTTGTCACAACAAGGTTTGGCCACCCTTGTTATATGCTGTAAATACAGATTTCTAAAGGTAACTTCTATCCTTAGCTCTTGATAGCTGTACAGTATATACTATATGGTATATACAGTATGTATACCAGTGTTTCTCAACTGCCAGTCTGCAGAAAAATATTTGACTGAATTGACATTGGCGGAAGTGATTATGGTAGACATTTAAATAGTAATTATGTAAAATTACTTTAGATAAGCATAATAATTAATAAATAAGCATAATTCATTTAAACCAACACATCAAAACACACCACAAAATATAAGACTTACTTCTAACCCAAAACAAAAAACGGTGTGTAACTTGACAGTATGTCATTCACTAACGTTTTTGAACCAATGGTTCTTCTTCAGATGAAAAAATGGACAGAATAAATGAAATTTGATGGAACAATTTTTTTTTTCAAAAGAATTCTGAAATGGAATTTCGGAGGAAACCCATTTGAAACCGAGATCAACACAGTTATTAGTACAGTAGAACCTCGAAAACTCGACCTAATGTGGACCGAAGGGTGGCCGAGTTTGTGAAAATGCCGAGTTATCGGGAATGGGGTTAAAAAAAATAAGTACGAGTATTTCCTCAGAAAATACTGTACTGTACTTGTACAGTATTTACTTGTACAGAANGACAATAGATTCGGCAAGGTATTCGAACAATGTGGCATAGACACGAAATATTTGAATATCGTCCTATAAATCGTCACGTTTATAGCCCGATTATATTGTCCTTCGATGCTAAGTCTAAATCCATAAATTATTCATAAGGTCGTCCTCGTCTTTAATATAGAAATGTTACGAAAGTAACCAAAAATGGTACTTTGTTCTTCAAAAAGTACAGATTATTCCTTGATATATTATTGCTAAAATCAATAGTTTCTATGGAACATTGTTTCGGGATTATTTGTACGCGTATCCATTCCTTCGTGATTAAATAAACGTTCTCGTTTTCTCCATCCGACTTAGTTGAATACAAGAGGAATTTTTACCATTTTCTGCGATATAAATGCCTAAAAGTAATACAGGTAATCTATAGTGGTTCGATGCATTTTCTGTGGAGCGCTATCGCAAATTACCGCGAAAGGCTCAAAAAATCAAAAACTAAACTCCTTAAGGGCGTGGTCCCTTTGTTCGATGCCGCTCTAACGGCGGCACCGAACAAAGCCTAACGTTTCCATTTGATGATTGAATGTAAAACTGGACGATTTGCTTACATTGACAGATGCCGTGCCACACACTTCAGAGGTTTCTCTTATAGGATGTAAAAATCAACGGTTAATTCGAGGACTTAAAATTAGTCGTATTATATCTTGATTTATTACCGTAATAAGCGATTGAAAACAGTTTGCAACAATTTAAAAGATAATAATTTTATGTGACATAAAAATAATTTGATGACAAATCAAATCAGACTTTATTACAGAGACAATTCCTTATAATTACACTTATATCATTCAACAAACTAGTATCTTACATCGAAAATTTACAAATTCTAGAACTGAATCAGGATCAAAGCATTGCAGAGAACGTCTTCTTGTAAAACTTTAATTGAATCAACTGTCTCTGGTTTTTGAATTCTCCAAATACATTTTCTTCATAAAACTTCACCATCCTGCAAGCGACAAACAATACTTAACGACATTTATTCAAATATGTAATTTCCTATTACGGTTTCGTAAAGCGTTTCGTTTAACGCAAATTTTATCTGGAAACATTCGTTCTTCACGAAGAATTTAAAAAAAAATTTCTTCCGTTTTGTGTATCAAAACTTCCTTTTTTTCGAGTTTCTCACGTTCATCGGACTTTCATTGAATTTAGATGACGTCACAAGCAATGGGCACAATTTGAGAAAATTCAAATTCCAGTAAAAACACAATTCCGGAGAATCCAAGTTCCAGGGATGACACAAATTCGGAATCAAATTTGAGCATAGACACAAGCCGGAAGAGTCCAAATTCGAGTGTAGACACGATTCAGGAGTCAAATTCGAGGTTAGACATAATTCGGGACAGTCCAAATTCGTGGGGAAGACATAATTCGAGAGTGAAAATTCGAGTAGTCCAATTTCGGAAAATGGTAATTCACTAAAAGGTAATAATGAGACACAGTCGGGAAGAAGTCAAAATTGGGAAGTCATAATCGAAATTGGTATTGACGCAGTCCGGATGTCAAAGTCAGAAGAAGGATTCAACTCATCGATGATTTTCAGACAAGTCATATCCTATAAAATATTCAATTATTTCATTAATTTTTATATCAATAATTTTATTCCTTCTAAAATACACTTACATGCCAACAAGCAAAAATTATTTTGCTTACGGCAATTCATTGCATCGTGTCACGTATGTATCAAATGTGTTATTGTTAACATTAATGTCAATACAAGAGCTAGTGAAATTATAAATAAGTGCCTTTTTTCGAGTTTTAGATGAAATGTCTATAATTACAACGTCTGCCCGTTCTCAAAACTCTTAAAAAGTTTAGACTAATTGATCAAATTTCCAGTAGGTTGACGTCATTCAGCCGACCAATCAGCGCGTTGTGCCATCTGGATATTATGTCGCACGTTGCTCGAGTTCATCTTGACGTTTCTTTTTGCGAGTAATAGCGTCGAGCAGTTTATCTTGTGTATTCGCCTTCTTCCTTTACACTTGACTCTTCAGCCAACCCATAAAAAATCTAATGGAGCAATGGTGGCCAGTTAATAGTATTGTCAAGAGCGATGTTTCGATTTGGGAGTGCCATTGAGGTTCTTTAATTTAGCAAGGAAATTTTAGTGGATGGACGAGCGGCAAAGTTGTTATGGTGCCAGCCTACACTCTTGAGAACTTGGCATCTAATTCGGGAGGCCGAAAAACTCTATAAGTTTGCTCAAAAGACCCTCTTAGTTAGGCCGGATGGCCGAGCGGTCAAGGTGGCAGCCTACCGTTCTGGGGAACTCGGGATCGAATCCCCAGGTACTTTTCGGGGGGTGATCCGTTCGGATATGTCGGGCCCCGTCCCTTACCACCCGGCCGCCCCATAATGGGCCCGCTAGAAGAGGCCCTCTTAGTGCCCACAGGGCGGAAAGAGTGAAAAAAAAAGGAGAAAGAGTTTTAAAAAAATTTTGAGTCAGATCTAATCTGACTTGTTGATTTCTTCCTTTGCCCCTTGGTTACTTGGTAAAGTCAGTAAGGGGTTGTCCATAAACGACGCCCACAGTGGAAGGGGTGGAGGAAGGGATTGAGCTACAGTGGACATTCGTTTTATTTCATTAAATTCTATACATATTGTAATATATATTAAAAATTTCTCGTAAGCTTCGTTTCTACTTCTGGTATCTTTCGTTCATAAAGCGATAAAGGTTTGAACAGGGGTCGAGCTTTCTTGGATATTAAAAGCGGGGGGGAGTGTGTTACGAAAACTCGGACAAGCCGGAACAAATGAAGAGAAGTAGTAAAAATTAAAAAATAATGCCTGGATAGTGGCTAATTAGCAAGTTAAAGGATGTCGGCGAGGGGAGGAAATAAAAATATATTCCGTTACAGACGATAAAAGAAATGTAAGATTGGCAACACTAAGCATTACCGGACATGCGCAGTTATAGAAGGATAGTTAAGCGGATCGGAGTAACGGTAGATGAAGTAAGTTATTCTTTGTTTCGATTAAAATGTCGTAGAGTATTCGAGTATATAATTAATTTCATTGGAAATAACATGCTTAACGACACGCGTATAATTAGAATTTCGAGTCAAGTAAAATGACGAGTGAAGTAAACAGACAACTTTTGATGACGTTCTCTCTTCCTTCAAACCCATTGGATTTGTTATGTTTTTCCTCGTTTTTTATATCCGGCGATTCTTCCCGCAGTTAAAATTGCTTCTAATGGCTTAAAATTCTCATATTTTCATTTTATTTCGACCAATTAACATAAATGAAAGAATTTATTGCGTTTTAATGTCAGGGGACTTAGGCCTAAATATACTAATTGACAGTCCCTAACATTACGTCTGTTGGTAAAGTTACTTTTAGTAATTTGTTTACAGAGTAGTTATACTGTACTATATACATGCAGAATACATATATATATTTGTTCTATCCGAGTTCTGAATGAGGGGTTTTGTACCTCCAAAAATTGTAGACCCTCCTATTCAAAGCAAAAATGTCAAAGGAACTATACCTTTACGTGTGGACTAAATATTTAAATGCAATAGTCTTGGCTGAGCCGTGGGACTCGCCGTCTCGTGCGACCCGATTTTGGGGGCCGTATCTCGCTCGTAGAGGTGTGGGCCCCCTCTAGTCTTCAGAAGAGGGGGCCCACACCTCTCTGAAGACTTTTGACTTTTTTACTCCCGTGTTTACTCCTTACCTCCTTTTGACTTTTTTACTCCCGTGGGTGTGCTCTATGGCTCCCGTTGAGTCCCGACTGTCTCGTTCGGAGCTCGAATTGAGCCGTAAGTCTGGCTTTTACCATAGTTTGGAGGAAATTGTTGTGAGGAGAGTATTTCTGTAAGCTTGTGTGCGCTTATACGTATATACCCACCGTGGGCAAATGTGGCTCTTTTTGAGTTACGCGTGGCTCTTGCTTAAAGTGTTAATTTCTGCTTTTTATTATTATTTTTACAATTTTATTTCCACAATTTTGTGAAAATATGTTTATTAAACAAATTAAATATTTGTTTTATATAATATTTATATTATATAATAAAATCGCGGTACAGAACTGCGACTCCCATGCATTTTGCAAAACCTACGTTTCGGCTCCCACTGACCTCTTGCTTGCCCACCCCTGGTATATACTAATGGTGGCTAAATCGCGGCTCGCCGGCTGCTTGTGGCTCTCGCGTGGTGCCGGTAGGTGACCGTTTAAAGCCGTTTTGGACTTTGATATTTTTTATTATAGTATGAAGTAATGCAAAAAGTAATATTTGTATGTGAAAATAAAGTTTCTTCTATACTTGTCATGGAAAAAACATTTTTTAATTAGATTGTGGTTTACATTATGAAAAAATATTTCGATTGTGGTAGTCGCATGATTGTTTCTGGCAGTCGGCGATTGGCTTTTTTTCTTGGTTGAGAGCCTGGGAGATGTGGCAACCTTAAAGGAAGAGCGAGCTCGATAATGGGCATTTTGTAGAAAATATTCGCCCAAAATGTTGAGTCCTTGTTATCTTCTGAAGACTTGACGATGCCTTGCTACATGGTTGACTGCCAGAAGGGGCATTGCATGATAATTTTTCCTGTTATGTGAGAGACGACCTATTGTTGGTGATGGGGAGTCGACAGAAAAGTATGCGACTCCCGAGTTGGAATTTTTTAAAATTGACTCCAACTCTGGTTCTCTATCCTTGGTTATTGTTATTTGTCATTGAGAATAGGATTGCCTTATGATACTTCCTGTGAAGATGGCTTGCCTAAACCTGCTTCAATGGGCTAGATGGATTTTGGCTTATATGGTCCACAATAGGAGCACACATCCTACTTGTACAATTTCTTTTTATAAATTTGATACATATTACTTACACATATATTTTTGTAAGTTTTTTGACTACAGTGTAATATATACATGAATTGTAAGTGTAACTCATAACCTCAAATAAGCAACTGAAAGCATAAATGAAACTTAGGTACGTTCATAACATCAAAGGAATTAAAAGGAATATAGTAACGGTGACATTTATTATACACCAGTGATAACTATCAATATATAGTTAAAATACCATAAATATGTGATATGGCCTTTGTTTATTTTCAATGGCTCTTGTCACAACAAGGTTTGGCCACCCTTGTTATATGCTGTAAATACAGATTTCTAAAGGTAACTTCTATCCTTAGCTCTTGATAGCTGTACAGTATATACTATATGGTATATACAGTACGTATACCAGTGTTTCTCAACTGCCAGTCTGCAGAAAAATATTTGACTGAATTGACATTGGCAGAAGTGATTATGGTAGACATTTAAATAGTAATTATGTAGAATAACTTTAGATAAGCATAATAAGTAATAAATAAGCATAATTCATTTAAACCAACACATCAAAACACACCACAAAATATAAGACTTACTTCTAATCCAAAACAAAAATCGGTGCGTAACTTGACAGTATATGTTTCACTAACGTTTTTGAACCAATAGTTCTTCAGATGAAAAAAAATAAACGAAATTTGATGGAACAATTCTTTTTTTCAAAAGAATTCTGAAATGGAATTTCGGAGGAAACCCATTTGAAACCGAAATCAACACAGCTATTAGTATTGCCAAACACCATTGGTATGGTACCGTGATAACCGCATTAGCCAAAAAAATGCTTCATCCCCAACGAACAGAATGACCAGAAGTGCAAGAGCAAGAAAATATGATTTGTGAGGACAGAGTGCCTATCACTTATAATCTGTATTTAGAGAAACTGTACACCGAGATCGCTAGAAAGAGACAAGTCATCTTAGTCTTTCGAAGATGTCCTACTCTTTTTCAAATGCTCAGTAATGGAAAAGATACTCCACAACAAGACACTCTAGCTGGAGTATACACCATTCCTATGAGAGATCATAGGTGTGATAAAGACTTAATATATGTTGGCTCCACAAAAAGATGGAGTATCCTTATTGATAGCATGGCAAACTCATATATGACATATGACAAGGCAAAAGTTCTCTCAATGGCACATGTGCAAACGATGACGAAGATTGCACGAGTTTCCACTGAAATTCCATTTCAAAATTCTTTCGAAAAGAGACATGTTTCATCAAATTTCATTTATTTTGTCCGTTTTTTCACCTGAAGAAGAACCGTTGATTCGAAAACATTAGTGAAAAACGAAATGTTGAGTTACGCACCGTTTTTGGTTTGGGTTAGAAGTAAGTCTTATAATTCATTTAATTACTGGTCCATATAAAATTATCCATAATTTTACTGATCTGAGAAAAAGGTTGAAAAAAACTGCCATATACAGGTGGCCCTTGACTTTTGTACATTCTACTTTTGCACAATTTGCTATTTTGCACATTTTTAAAAATTCAATTTTTTAAAATATTTTTATTGATGATGAAAAAATTTGCTTCCCTGCAGAACACTCATACTACAAAGTGCAGTAACGCACTCAACATTCTCGGACACACATTACTCCCTACAATAGTGGACTTCTTGGAACCCTAATTGCTACTGTGTTGTTCTGAGCAAGAGGTCAAAACAGTTTGTCTTGCATTAGGGCATTCATCAACGTATTGTGTATTTTGCCAATTTATTTGTTTATGTTTAAATATTTCATCCTTATAAATGTAGGAATAATGATCGAAATAGAAAACTAGAGAACTAGAACTAGCTTTGTTTGATCCAATGTCATGTCCTTTTTATGACTGAGCTTGTGATGGACATTAAAAACCCTCTTAGTGACCATAAGACAGGAAGAATAAAAAAAAAAGTGTATCATATCCCTAATAGAATGTTCAGATGATGAAAAAAATAGTCTGATATATCTAAACCACATCACCAAGACTTTGAACCATTTAATTGAACTCATTCCCTTCAGAATGACAAACAGATGTCTTTGCTTCAGTAAACAGCTGGTGTACTATTTTAGAGAGCTGTGTGCAATTTTATATTATTTCCCTTTAATAAGGGCAAAAAGTCCTAATTAAGTTGTACTAAGTGCACAGAATTACCAGGGGTGCACAACCTGCGGCCCGCGGGCCACATACGGCCCCCTATCAATGTTTATGTGGCCCGCGGACTGTACAGGCCAAATCCTTTCTTTCCAAGTTTCTAAGTTTAGAACTTTTTCCCTTTCACAAAGTCATTAGCACCCAACTGTTTTATGACTTTCCCTGAGGTGAGAAATGGGGGATTGTTCTATAAATAAGTCTATTTCTAGCTTTCTGGTTTAGATAGCGAATATTTAAAATGATGTTAGAAAGTCATTTCCGATATTATTAGGAAGTTTCTATTTTGGCGGAAAATCTTCAATTTTATGCTTCGGAAAACTTGCCTATTCGTCTAAATAGCGTCAAATAACANTCAAAATTCCAGTAAAACATACACTTTAATAGACTGTTTTCAACCATCTTAAATGGTCATACTCAAGTTTAACCTAATAAATTTAAATAGTAATGATAATGAGAACAAATTTTTTTAACAAAAAGAACACTTATATGATTGGTTGAACATTATATATAACAAAAATTGAAAAAGCATAGGAAATTGATGTATGGTATGTAGATATTGGTTCAAAAATATAATCCTTGCTGTGACAAGTATAGAGAAATCTCTTAAAAACAAAATTTTTAGATGTCATATAAAAAATTGTTTAATATTTTAAATCAAATATAATTAATGCAATAGTTATTCATTATTGTACAGCAGAATCCACTTATTTTAATCATTTTGATGCTCATTTATATTGATGATGATAACTGACAGATAACATTAACTGAATAAGACTGAAATTAGTGGAAATTCTAGTTTTATTGACTTTAATATTAAAAAGACACATTGAAACATTTAAGTATAACCAAATAACTGCCAAATTACCATGTGGTTGTGTGGCTAAATAAATAAATTGTAACTAATTAGTCTAGAGCAGGAGTCGCCAAACTTTTTTGATCGTCAACCCCCCTACAACTTATCGAAACCTCATATCGACCCCCACCAAGAAGTTTGTGTTACAAGCAAAAAAACGCTCATACTATTTTAATATAATATTTTAATTTTAGTTTTTTACATTTATTGTACATATGTTAATACAGTCAACCCCCCTATGTGAGCCGTTCACAGTCCGGCACAGGTATTTGTAAAATCTAAGTGACTCGTACAACATGGAATTCATTTAAAATGGAATAATCAACAGTGTTATAGGGGGGTTGACTGTAATAATTTTTGTAACTGACAATCAATGAGATGATTAAGCTTGATAATTCTTAGCAATATTCGGTTCAAAATTTTTAAGTTTTAGTCTTCATCGACTTCCCAATAATGTGATATCGACCCTTAGGGGTCAATATAACATTATTGGGAAACTCTTATATATGACATATGACAAGGCAAAAGTTATGCTTCTCTCAACTGATATCGATCCTTAGGTGCTGATATAGACCACTTTGGTGACCCCTGATCTAGAGGTAGGTGGTTATGCTGCTATGTCATATTAATTTTAATAATAACCAGCCTGGAGTTGTTCTCAATTGGACAGAGGTCCAGGTAGCCTAACTGGAAATGCATCTGTATGGTGTGCAGGAATTGCAGATTCAAGTCCCACTCTGGGCTGATTCTTTTCTTCCAGAAATTAAAAATTAATTTATTATAATTATTAAAGTTAACACAAGATAGTGGCATAACTGCCTACCTCTAGAAAAGTTAATAAATTTTCTAATCATTTACTTACTTAGCCGTATAATAGTCCGATAACACTGGACAACAATGATTTTGTTTTGGGCACAAAATTAGCATATTCTTATGTATTTTCATCTTTTGAATTCAAAAATCACTATAAAAATGACCTATTAGCTCTTGCTTTGGAGCAGTGGTTCCCAACCAGTGGTCCGCAAGATCTAAAATATGGTCCGAAAAAGATTTAAAACTTTTATTCTGTTATTGACGTAATCTAAATATTACAAAACATTAATAATTTGTTTGGATGTAGCGGGTAATCTCCGAAACTACTCATTCGATTTCAAAAATTCTTTCACCAATATTTAGAATGGAACTACAGGGTGGACATAGGCTGTACATTATTCCGTTAAACATTCATATAAATTAAAAGATATAATCTAGGTTATGGCTTTTATGTCCAACAGATGGAGCTACGAGTACAACGCCCTAAGTTTGCTTTTCTGTAAGGTATTACGCTTTTCTGTGAAAATGAACTAAAACGGATCATCTTCTATCTATCTATATAAATAAAAATGTAATGTTTGTTTGTTCCTACCGATTCCTTTGAAATTTAGACACAATGCTGCATTCAAATACACACATGTTTTTATATAATATACATGTTGAAATTCCCCCCACTGCAGGGAGATGGTTAGGATTAAGGCTTAATGTAAAGAACTCTGCTTCTATTCATATTATTTTAGATATGGTTTTTTGCATTTTTGATTGTGTTTTAATAGGGTATGACAACAGAATGTACATTAAGAAGGGATTTTTCGAGATTCCCCTGCTGAGGAGAGGGACTGGATTAAGGCTTATCGTTAAGAACTTGGCTTCTATTATACTATTTTACATGCAGTTTTTTGCATTTCAATAGGGTACGTCAAGAGAATGTACACTAAGAAGGGATTTTTCGAAAAATTTCCCTCCACGGGGGAAGTGTTATACATTTATAATAGCTACATTTTGAGCCACAACAACGCGTGGTGGGGTCTGCTAGTGTTAATAATATACATTTAAACGTATAAATTAAAGATTGATTACTTGTAATTATTATTAATTAATAGTAATTCAGTCAGTTTGTAATTGATATAATTGAACAAGTAAGCAAATATCTATTAAAATTATTAATGTTTAGTACTTAAAGCAGTAAATAAGAATGATAGCAATACCTGATAATCATTTTGTGTTATTGATCATATGCTGAGGCTGATTGCTTAAAAACGACAGCTTAAAAATGCCTACTTACCTAAAATAATAACTAAAAATAAAACTCCTGATTACAATAAGCAGCTTTCAGAATCTATTGTATTGGATTAGCTGTATACATAGATCAGTAAAATGAAAATCTTAAAATGTGTGTAAAATTTTAAAACTTTGTAATATTTTTCAAATTGGCAATATTGTTGGTCCTCTGGAAATTGGGTAATAGTATCTTGCTACATTTATGAGATCTCGGTAACAGTTTAAGATGGTCTTCCCATATACTTCACAACTCAAATACCGATGATTTAATATAATAATCCAACAGTTATATCAAAATTTAAATATGTCTGGAAGCAAAGGTTGGCTTGGGTCCAGGTGGTGCAATTGGTAGCGCACTGCATTGCAAGCGGAGGCTGCTGGTTCAAGCTCCGTCCCGGGTCAGTTGTTTTCTTCCAGAATGTTCTGAATTATTTATTAAATTATTAAAAATTATAATTATTAATTTAGATAAGAGATGGCACCTAATGTTTACATCTAGTACTAAATTCATTTGTATTAATTATTTAATTATAGCCATATTATAGCCCGAATATTTAGGCGTTCGTTGGATTATTATATGGTCTTCCCATTTAGATCATCAGAGAGAAGCAGTGTCCTGTTATTAGATATCTTATAGTGAAGAGATGAAAACAGCAGAAATTCATTGAAGAATGAAGACTTAGTTTGAAATTGCCTTTATCTTCAGAAAGTGTATAAATTTTGAAGATGTATGACTTTAGTGACTAATGTTCTGATCAGACAAGGCTCATTAAGTTGTGACACCATAGTTAATAGCTAGAGTTAAAAACATCATACTGAAGAATCATCATGTTATGATGGATGCAGTGACTGAATTATTGAACATCAGTCTTGATTCAGCATATCATGTCTTCCATGTTTAACTTTATGAGATTCTTCTGCAACAGGATAATGCAAGATCACATATTATCCATTCTATAGTTGCAAACATGCAGGAATTGCACATGGAGTGTTTACCACACCCTCCATACTCATTACACGTTGACTCAGGTGATACTTATTTAGACTGTTTAAAAAGGCACTGAATGGCGGAGTTTTTATTACACAAAAATTACAGTACAAAGACCAGTTTACTTACTTAATAAATGCAACAGATTGCATGTTATCAAAAATGGACTCTTGAATTTTGTAAGACTTCCAGATCACCAGCTGAGTATCAGGCATTATCTGGCTGTGATATATGAAATGGTCTGTGAGCAGATGATGAGAGACAGATAGTGCTTCACAAGTATGTGAAGCACTATCTGTCTCAATAGAATCAATTTCGGAGGAATCCGTGGACTTTTATGACCAGTGGAAGTATGCATTACAAAAAATGGAAGCTATGTTAAAAATTAGTGCAATTGTATGACATCCATAATTAATACATTGGAATGTATTTACAATTCAAGGTTTTCATTTGAATTTTCCTTGTATAAATTGAATATTATGTATTGAACAGCTATATATAACTGAATAGAGCTATACTCTGAATTCTTGCTAAAATGAATGAACTTTTCTACCCATCAAAATATCCAAATTAAATAATCCTGGTATTAGGAATCTCTTTGAAGTGCATATGTGAAAAGTTTAAAAGTTGTTCTAGTAAAATTGGAGAGTAGAAAGTGTTTGTTTATTTTATTTAACTGTTATGTTTTACAGCAGCTGTGCAAGAGCTCTTTCCAACTTTTTCAATAAATATATTTATCTTACACTAAAGATTGTTAAAATTTTCAGTGATTATTGATGAATGTAGTACTTATGAAGTTTATCATTGTGTGGTTTCAGTTGTTATATGAGTATAAGCATGAAAAATAACTAATTTTCAACAATTAATAACTATATGTACATTTTTATTAGAAATTAGGTATTAAAAGTTTAAAAGAGTTCTCTGCCAAAAAATGAAATATATGATGATATGGTAATTCTTGTAATAATTTACTTCATTTTATTTCATTTTTTATTTCAGATATATTTGAATTTATAACATCAAAGAAATATAATTATGGCTGAATCTGAAGTAGCTGAGGTATGAACAATTTTACCATATTAAAACTTGTATATATTTAACATATAAGTAATTCTTGCTTTATTTATATGTTGTAAAGTATTTGCAATTGCATATACAGTATTTACTCGCATATAAGATGAGGTTTTTATTATTTTTTACTGTATCAAAAACCTAGGCTGTCCTGTACGCATGAGCAAAGGATCTTTTGCATTTTTGAAATAATTTTTGTAAACCATGTATTTGCATTTTTTACTGGATGCTCACCCTCTGGTGTTTAAAAACAAAATTATTTTATCTGGGTCATTTCAATCATTCTTGTGTATTGTCAGGAGTAAAGATGAATAGCAATTGGAAAAGCAAAGCTTTTGAATTGAATTTCAAATTGAAATTCCAAAATCACATGGGAGCCCAATTTAAATTTTAGTTTTAATCCATTGCCATTTGAAAACAGATGATTATTTGGAAATCAGAATTCAGAGAAACTCATGTAATCCATGGAGAGGGGATTCGACTGTTAAGAATTGGCAAAAAAGGTTCCCTATTGTCTAGCTTTACATGAACAAATTATGTAGATTTTACAAGATTTTTCTTTAAAGTTTAAAATGCCAGTAATTTTTGCAGGACAATGTGTGCATTTGATATTTTATTTGTGATAAATGAAATACAGTAGAGCATCGATTTTCCGAAAGTCAATCGTCCGAAACGTCAATCATCCGAAAGAATTCCAGTCGGCAAATTTAAATTTTCGCCAGTGCTGTGGCGCTTCAATCTTTGGCTATGTCTTGGGCTACTCAAATATATTTACGCTTTTGATACTAAATTAACATCTGAAGTATAATTTTTTATTGTTTTTATATTTTTCAATATATTCATTTTGTCTGTACAAAATAAAAAAATACTTTTTAACGATACAATAGTTTTTGTTAGGCTTAACATCGACGAAAATTCAACGCGAAGCGACACGCAACGGAGAAAAATTTCGACATCGGATACGTTAAACTATTTTTTCGTA